TCACTAATGCTACTGTGGCTGAATCTACTCAGGCTTTAGCAAAGCTCAGTTACACTGGGTTAATAAATGATCATCTCATTGATTTATCAGTCTACTCAGGCTTTAGCAGAGCTCAGTCCATTATAACCAATCTGATTTGTTTATATAATCAGATTGGCTATATAAATAAGTTTGACAGATTGATTGACTTCAGCTTTTCTCTAGTTTTATATTGTATTACTCCCATTGTGGTTTATAGTTTGATTTTCTTTAATTTTATCTATTTATAATTTATTATTATATTTCTTTTATTTTTATTTTATTATTCTGTTGGCAGCAGTCTGAAGAGACATGGTGGCTGGGATTATGTGCCTTGGAAGTAGCACATGCTAGCCTTCCCTTCACCCTTCTTGCCAGGTAGCACTGCGTGATGGGGTGAGACCTAACTAGCGACTAAATTAGGGGGAAAAGTGGATAAAAGAAGTGTGTTTGACTCACTCATCTCCTGGTTGTCCTGTTCTGTCAGGTCTCTGCTGTCTTTCCTTTCTCTCCACACTGGAGATCTGGAGCGATTCCTTGACGAATCCTGCTCAGAGTTAGAGTCTAAAACACACAGAGTTACAATCTCACTCTCTTCCTGAAATGTCCAGTCCGAAAGCCCACTCTGAATCCAAAAGGACCCCACATCTTGTGTCAGTGCCTACTTTAAACATACCCTCGGCAACTTTGCCTCACCACTCGGATGTGCGTCACATCTATGTTACACAAGTGGCCTCGCAGTACAAGAATACCTGCTTTGTCTGACTATAAGCTTTAATTTAGGACCATGGTGCACTGCCTTTTTTGTTGTTGCTAGCTGTGTGGCCTTTAGCTTGCTAACTAGCTGGCTATTAGAATGGTCCCCAGATAGCGAGCAGATATCGGCTGGCTGGCTTGATAAGGTCAACATTCCACGGACTGTTTACTACTGCTAGTCCACCCTCAGACCATCCAGATCACTGTCCTGCATACAAGGTCTAACTAGTTTTTAATCTCCTCAAACAGATTTTGAATGTGGACAGCCTTTTATTTTGAAAAATGAACTAAGACCATTATTACAAACAATTGAAAGAAAAATTAGGCCTAATATAAAATAATTTTGTTGAAAATTTTGCTGACACTGTGCTGGATTGGTTACAGCTGTATACCTGGTTTTCTTTATGATATTACTGTTAAAATTATTTACCAAACTATTTTACAAAAGATAATGAAAGAAAGAAAGAAAGAAATTGGACTTTGAGTGGAAAATGAGTGATGAAATGTGGCATTTTGTATAACACTCTGCTTACCCACCAGTGGTCCACCAGCTTTGCTGTCAGTGGGCCAACAGACTGAACATAGCAAATTAAATGTTGTGGATCATTTTAAAGAATTTTACTACTATAAACAGTTTTCTATGACATTTTTTTTTATATGAAAAAGGAAATGACTCAGTGCGCATTAATTACTGGGCAAGTTCTGTTGCTAAAGTTGACACTTGTGTTCACTCAAACTCTTGTCTTTGCAAGACCCAGAAATCAAGCATATATCAGTACTCTGCTGACTGTATGCCACTCCTCGTCCATCTTCTTACAACCTAGATTATTGTCCTGCATACAAGGTCTAACTCAGGGGTCAGCAACATGCAGTTCTGAAGCCACATGCAGCTCTTTTACTGCTGTGGTGTGGCTCCATAGCACAATTCGATTTTTAGGTCAAAATAAAATTATCCTTCTTTGTAAAATAAAGCTCTGCAGATCGTTCAACACAGTTTTAACAATAAATGGTCTTAAACGCTGGAGTTAATGTAAAACTGCTAATTCACCCCTTTCCTCTGAAGGTTGGGTCGCAGATTTGGAGATAAATCGACTTATTTGCATTTATTATCACTCCAGCTGGTTTCCTGATTAAATCTGCAACAAGAAACTGCTGCATATTCGCCAACTTCTTATTTAAAATTTCCCGTTCCATGAGAAGCTGACTTAAAAAATAGAACGTTGAGAGACATTTTACAAGAAGCTATTCCACTTTTGCGGAAAAGTTTCCTGTTGGAGATGCGAGAAAAGCAGCTGTAGCTGAGCTAAAGCTTAAAGCAGAACAAAGTAAGTCTGTGTTTTACTTTACATTTTTCATCCTATACTAGGACATCAGCACATACTGAGACATATTTATAGCCAAGATGGTAAAATAGACATGAAACATTGTGGCTTTGAAGATGGTTTGATTTTTTGTTGAAAGGACAAAATGGCTCTTCTTAACATTTGGGTTGCCGAACTCTGAACTAACTAGTTTTTAATCCCCTCAAACAGATTTTAAATGCACACAGCCTTTTATTTTGGAAAATAAACCAAGAAACATATTACAAACAATTGAGAGAAAATATATAATAGACCTAATATAAAATGATTTAAAAAGATGTTGTTACGGACACTAGATTGGTTACAGCAGTATTACTAGCTTTATTTAAGACATTACAGTTAAAATAATGTACTACACTAATGTACAAAGGAAAAATAAGTAAATTGAACAGAGAAAAGTGGCATTTTGTCAAACACTCTACCTAACCACCAGTGGACCGCCCAGAAAACGCCGAAGGAAATCCAGTGGGCTAACAGCGGCCTGCTATCCTCTTGCTATCTGGGGGGCTTGTGTGACACCCTTCACTTGAGCTAATACAGTAACCAAACGACCCTGAAGATGGTGTCAGGGATGCTCCAGAGGGTAAATGACGAGGCCACGTGGAGAAGGGCTTGTTAGAACCAGTACTGAAACAGGCCAGTAGAAGAAATAGTGTTAGCAATGTAAATGACTGATTGATGATTATATACTCACTCTGATTGGCTGGCAGGCTGCTGATGTAATGCTGAATAAGACTCAGTTCTGTTTGGCTGCAGAGAGGGGTGTGGCCATCCGTGGACCCCTCTCCCCTGGAGAATTTTCTACCAATCAGACAGATTAGAGATTCAGTCAGGGCTGAGGAAGTGTTTGTGTGTTGGGGGGGTGTGGGGGGTAGGGGTGGGTTGGTTGCTGGGGTTGGGGGTTATGGCCGTTTCTATGTGTGTTACCTGTGTTGTGTATTCTGCAGTAACTCCATTTCTCTCTGGAGCTCTTTGTATGTGCAGCTGAGTTCAGAGATCTGAGTCAGAGCACTGCTCACATCCTCCTGCAAACACATACATTCACTCTTAAAAAGGGGTTCTTTTATAATGAAAATGGTTCTTTATAGAACCATGAACACTCAAAGAACCCTTTGCATGATTAAATGGTTCTTTGCATTGTTATAGCACTCTTCAGATTGATGGAAAATGAGCTCTATATGGAATCTTTTTGAAAATGGTTCTATATAGCACCTATATAGCAGCATATATATACATTAGCCTAAGACATGTGTGAGGCTACCATAAGGTGAAGAAAACATTTAAGAACAATTTAAGAACATAATATTTTCAAGAATACCACTTGTTCTTACAACTATTCTTAAGAAAATACTTAAGAAAATAATATAATATAAACAACTTTTTTCATAAAAATGAAGTAAAGACACATTTAATTGGACAAACGGTAGCCAAAGGCGGGATTTAGGGAAAGGTGCTCTGTGATTGGTCTACTTTAGTTTGATAGTATGTAAAATCGAGTTTCCTTTCACTTCAGAGTAGTGAGTTATGGCACCATCACACAGAAAGTAGTGGAGTAAAAAGTTGTAGAGCATTTCAAGATTTTAACTCTTTTCCAATGACAATAAGAGCTTGTAACGTGTGTGAGTGTGTTTGCGTGTGTGTACCTGCAGTGTGTTGAGAGTATTTCTCAGTGACAGGATCTTCTCGCCTGTCTCTCTCTGGCAGGTGGAGACTTTCTCCTCCAATCGGTTGTTGCTCTGCTGCAGTGCTGTGACCTCCTGGACCACACCCCCAAGTCTCACCTTTAGCTCCGCCCACAGGGCCTGCAACTGCAAAAGTGGGCGTCAACAGAAATCAAGTTCATGAGTAAAGTATGAGTAACGCAGAGAGGGCGGCCAAATCACAGAATGTGTAGTGAGGAGAACTACCACTCAGTAATGTCTTCTAGGTTTGTCAAACACTAGAGGGCGCTCCTGAGCGAGTTCCAAATGAATAGGCTCCTATACACCACTTAAGTCATGTTGTCATTCTGTAGTCGGAGTCATGCCCATATTAGAAACTCTGGTCTAAGGTGGAAAATAGTTCCAAACTATGTTCATTAAGGAACTATGAATATGAAAAATTAATTTTGCTACATGTGCACCAACACTGCTGCTCACTGAATTGACCTCATATGACAGACAAGTACACAAAAACAAATAAATCAGCACGCTATATCCAGTGTGGTTATTAAGTTGCCATTGAATGTCATATCATTGCGCAGGAGTGCCAGCTTGCTATTAGCGCGGATGTATCAATGTTCATATTTTGTCTCCTCAAAAACCCTGTAATTCAGAGGTTCTAGTCAAATCCAGTGGAAAAATGTACAAAACAGCAACCAAACAGCACTCAGTAGCAGTAATGCTAACCAACTAGCATTCAGTAGCAACAATGCTAACCAGTCAGAACTCAGTAAAAGTAATGCTAACCAATCAGCACTCAATAGCAATAATGCTAACCAATCAGCACTCAGTAGCAGTAATGCTAACGAATCAGCACTAGCAGCAGTAATGCTAACCAATCAGCACTCAGTAGCAGTAATGCTAACCAATCAGCACTCAGCAGCAGTAATGCTAACCAATCAGCACTCAGTAGCAGCAATGCTAACCAATCAGCACTCAGCAGCAGTAACCATCAGCACTCAGCAGCAGTAATGCTAACCAATCAGCACTCAGCACTCAGCAGCAGTAATGCTAACCAAAACCTGTTTGCTGTAGAAAAACGGAAAGATATGAGAGTTTCCTTTGATTTTTTTGATTGAATTTAATTTTTAGTTTTTAGCTGTTTAACTCCATTCACTCCTATTCACTGGGGATGCCCGTTAGCATTTTGCAGTCATGTTTTTGATATAAAGAGAGAAACAGGAAGTGGTCAGGCTCCCCTTTAACTGCCTCTGGCCGAATCTCGAAAGACTCCCAGCAGAGCGCCCTACATAGGTTTTGAAACTTCTACGCTCAGATATTGTGCGACACACCCAGTCGGGAGCCACGTGGGAGAGAAAAATAGACGGAAAAGGAGCGGAAAGCTAAGAGGAAAAAGAGGTGAGCAAGAGAGTGAAGCAAAATGAGTGACTGAAAGCGTGAACGTGCAGATGGTCAAGACTCGAGCTGTGTGTATGCGACATGTACTTTAATGTGATTACAGTAGCGGAGGGTCAAGCTAAATTTGGCCACAATTCGGTCACACTCTCTCCATTAAGACTTATTGTCTCTGTGATTTTAACAGCATTGATTTGTGTGCATGTGTCCTCAGTGACCTTAGATTTGAGGAGATAAATGAATCAGTTTACTTGAATGGTGGCCTACATGACCAGCCCCTTCATAGCAACTGACACAAATCAAGCACATGATCATGTGAAAGCCATCAGAGAGAGAGAGAGAGAGAAACAGGGGGGGTGGAGGAGGAAGAGAACGCTAAACAAAGCTGTGGGTTTCTCTACCTGGACCATATGCAAGTCTGTGTCATCCGTGTGTCCATCTGCATCTGAGAGATGAAACAGAAACATAGCACACAGTTCTTTATGAGTCTGTACTGCTGGTGAAGCCCAGTGGAAATGTTCTGAATGGTAGTCGGAGCAATTGAAGGTGGTCTGTGTAAGCAGACGGGCTTTATTTTGACCTTTACATTAGCTTCCACATTGCTACAATCAAAATAAGACATTATTTTGTATGAGAAGTTGTTTTACTAAGCTTTTTTTACTTTATATATAGTTACTAAAGCAATAAGCCATGAGAGGCTGTGCATTACTGCAATTTTATCACAGGGAAGGGTGTTCTTAGGCACGACACGAAGCGGGAGCAGTGGTAAAATTGCAGTAACGGACAACCTCAAGTGGCTTATTGCTTTTAAAAAACTGCGGCCAACATAAAATATGCCGAAATACACAGTTTGTTTTAGAAAATAATTAATTTTTAATAATCATCAACATAAGCAAGTATTCTGCCAATAAATGTAGTTCCTTTAGAGTATGGTATCGTTGCTATGGACTGCTGAAGGAGGAGAAGAACATTCGGGCACCCGTCTCTGTATATTGCGGTCATTTCATGAACTTTTTGTCGTATAACAATGAACATATGATAACCCAGCACTGTTTAATGCAAAAAACTTTGATTTATAAGTACTGTAGCACTTTAGCAGTACTTTAGTAATTTAGCACCAGTCCAGTGGCGCCCCTCTTCTCATGCTGGGGCTGAATCTCAAATTGCTCCCTGCTCCCTACATAGTGCACTATGTAGGAATTTAAATACTGGATCCTGCACTCCAATGATGCAAAATGCAGCTAAGAAATAGTCATTTGGGACACATCCACACTCGATAAATGATGCACTATTTGGCTGTAGAAGCTAGAATTTCTAAACTTTAATAGCTAGAACACTATTTAGGGAACACAGAGTCATTTGGGATTCAGTCTGGGTTTGACGTGACTTCTGTCTGAAGGACACATTTGAAGCATGTAAGACATTCAAGTGACATTTTTTAGACTTTCACACCGTTTTACAGTTAATCACCCCGTAAGTACTTTAATTCAAGCCTGTGATATTAATGATGGAGCTGTTTAGGCTGGTGTCTGTTAGCCTATTAGCTAGCTGACCAGCCTAGTTCTAGTTAAGAACATAAGTTCCCAGCCCCCCAGTTTAAACAAAAAATGGGTTCTTGGTACAACGGCTTTGAACACGGCTCAGCCAATAAGATTTTAGGACCGGAACTATCTGTTATAGTTATATAATACATTTTCCTTGTATTTTATTTTTTAGTTTTCTGTGACACGGTACCTGTAAGAACAAGACTTGTCTCATCCTTAATTCATGCTAGCAGCAAGGGTATAGAAAAAGAGGCATCATTTTACATAAACAGTGCACTATATGAGTAGATTGGGACTTCCAAATGACAAGAACCCACTCTATATATGGACAAATCTATTTAATTTGTCTAGATGTCTAAAAACTGCAGTCCCACAGTAAAAGAAACTACGTAAAAACCAATTAAATATTCAGACCTTATGTATTTACAAGAACGATCTCATGATCTATTTAAACTCAAGGCATTAATAGAAATAGTAATAGGCTACACATGTATTAAAAATCATCATTTATAGGGTATTTTCTGTTGCGAGGTGTCTGTCCCAAACCCTAACCCCTAAATTTACACTTCATATTTATCATATTTAATATCAAATCATATTTACTTTTTTAAAAAATTTTTTTTTTACATTGTTCTCAAAAAGATCTTTTCAGTTTTTTTAAAATTAAGCTGAAAGATTTAAATTTGTCATCAGTTTAATTTTTAGATCAAAAACTCATCAACAACAAAACAAATTAAAAAATGCTGTTCCATGTTTTCACGTCACTACCGAAACACAGTTTTAGTCTGTAGGCAGAGCCTCATTTTAGCCACGCCCCTGCATTTTAGAGCAGGAAGTGAGGCTGCATCCCTGTCCCTCACGGCCTCATGGGGAGCAGTTCGAGCCCATTGTTTTGAAGTGAATGTCTTAAAGTCTCAAAGTCAGTGTGGAACATTAAGAACTGTGCCTACCGAAACACAGATTTTCTGCAATATAGTAAACTTTTTTATGTTTTAATGAAAAATATTATGATCTTATGTGTGCTACTGCTAAAAGCTGTGTCTGCTAGTCATGTACAGACTAGCGTTTATGAGTTCTGCTCAAAATGAGCTAAAATTGTCACCACCGAAACATTTGGTACTGTTTCGGTAGTGTTGATTGTTTTAGTAGTAACAGAATGAAATGTTCAGTCATTAGTTTTAATACAATAAACATAATTAAAGCACAAAGTCACTCAAAGCAAGAGGATTTTTGCCTCAAGTCCAAGTCAGTAAAAAACCTAAAATCTGGTCTCAATACTTTGAACTAATTTGCTAAAATGATCCATATACTTTTGTTACCGTGGGCAAGGAGAGGGAGGACAAGTGTTACTATAGCGATGCGTAACTAGATTTTATTTCAGGTAATTCTGGACAATTTCCATTGGTCTCTTTGTAATAAAATGCCCACACAGTGTAAAGGCAGCCGTCATTTTAAGGCAAGAACACACAGACTGGACAAACACAAACATTCTAATGTCCAGGCCAAAAGGACGATTCAATGAGGAGAAAAAATTCTAGATTTTCCCAACAATCAAACACAGGCATGACACACCAACTGTTCATGTTTGTCCAGTTGGGGCACTCTGGCCTTTCAAGCTTTCTTCAAGCTGCTTCAGATCTGAAAACATCCACAGGTGTTTCTGTCCATCCTTCCACTGTGAGAAGACGACTCAGCGCTATGGGTCTGAAAGGATGTGTAGCTGTTAAGAAGAACCTCACTGAGAAAAGGAGACACATCAAACAAAGAAGCTGAACAATGGACTGACCACCCCAGAGGCCAGACCTCAACACCACTGAATGTGTTCGGGATTATTTGGATTGTGAGAAGCACAAAATACAACCAACTTCTAAGACTGAACTTTGAAGCTGTGTCTACAGATTTCTTAGAGGAAGTGAAAGCAAGTATCCTGCAAAGAATGGAAGCTGTAATAAAGACCATTAATAAATAAATAAATAAATAAATAAATAAATCAAACATAATAGGCTGATTCTCAGTAAGACAATTTCTAAGGGGAAAATAAACTGCAGAAAATGTGAGATAAATGAATTTAACTTCAACTTCACCTTCTACTTTGCCGTTCTCCATGATCCACTGGAGAGTTCTAGATTCCGGCTTAATATTCCAGTTTTAGTTCCACTTCTACAATCCTGTCCAGCTTTTTTAATCTTGTCCTTCTTCTTGACCACTTCTAGAACAATCCGCACTGCTTCCTCTGAACTTCAGATCTTGTGCGGCCAAAATGAGGCCTCCGGTGGTCCAGTCGGCTCGGACCAGCTGAGCTGTAGCTTTCATAGACCACTTTAGTCTCCCTCTCCCTCTCTCTTTCTCTCTCCTCTGTTCCACCTATCTCTTCCCTCTCTTCTGAGGCATGTGAGTCTGATGAGGTGCCGGACAAAAAGAGGCCTTGTTTTACAGTAAGTGGAGAAATGAAGGGATGAGGGAGGGGGGTGAGAGAGAGAGAGAGAGAAAGAGATGCACTCCTCCTTCATAAAAACCAGATGATTCAATTTCCTCTTCAACCTTTAAGACAAATTTACCATGAACTGGAGACACACAGATCTTCACTCGCAGGCAGATCTTAAGTCATTTCGTATTTTATGAAGTGACTCATAGCTGTAAAGAGTTAAAAACTGTGTAAAACATCTAAATAAAAGAGCAAAGCTCGCACACCCAGCAGTAAAAGTCAAGAAAAACCTCCCACCCATAAGGTTAAGATTAAGATACAAACCCTCTCAGCTTTCATAAGAAAGAACAAACACAAGAAAAATGATTTCCAAAGCAGTATCTGCAGTGCATCTACACTCACTGGCCACTTTATTAGAAACCCCTACCCTGATAGCCCACCTTGCTGGTGTACACTTAGAGACTGTAGCTCATGTGCTGATACACAGTTTGTGTAGCCGTCCTCTAGCCCTTCATTAGTGGTCAGTTTCTGACCACAAAGCTGCTCTTGTCTGGATATTTTTGGGTGGCGGTTCACTCTCAGTGTCGCTGCTGTGTTGGAAATGATCCAAAACTTACCAAAAGTATATGTGTTGTTTGTTGCTGATATCTGCAACATTTCACTTATTTTTAGGAATAAGAATTTATTAAATAGATAAATATTATCATCATAGGGTTAAAGAGTAAATATTTATTTCAAGTAATCTCTTATCTGCTTTGACGTTTGGTCACCACTTTTTAAATATGAGGCACTCTGGATATTCTTTTTATTTGAACTTTATTCAAAATCAGCTATCAACTTTATTAGAACTGAATAATGAATATTTTTTTATCACTGTATCCAAGATATTATTTTTATTAGAACTTTATATTGGATTTTCATTTTATTATACTTTTTACTAGAACCTAAATGTGGATATAGTTTCTTTTAATTCATTCTGGGTTTTAATATTATGAGAACTTCAATCCAGATATTATTTTTTACAGCTTCATTCTGGATAAAATTTTAGAATTTTTTATAATGTCATTCGGGGTATTTATTTTATTAGAACTTTGTGGGTAATATAGTTTTTGTACAAATAAATTCAATTTTTTTTATTATAATTTACAGCCTCAATTCCAAAAAGTTGGGACGCTGTGTAAAATGTAAATAAATGTAAATAAAAACAGAATGCAGTCATTTGCAAATCTCATAGACCCATAATTTTATTTACAATAGAGCATAGAACACATATCAGATGTTGAAAGTGAGACATTTTACCATTTCATGAAAAACATTAACTTTAGAACTTTAGCATTTTCTGAGAGACTCTGCCTCTCTAAAATGCTCAGTCATGTGAGTTAGTTGCAAATTGCTCTTCCAGCTGTTTTTTATTAGTACCAGTTACTTTTCCAGACTTTTGTTGCCCCTGTCCCAGCTATTTTGAGATGCGTTGCTGCCATCAAGTTCTAAATGAGTTAATGTTTTTCATGAAATTGTAAAATGTCTCACTTTCAACATCTGATATACGTTCGTTTGTGAATAAAATATGGGTCTATGAGATCTGCATAATCATTGCATTCTGTTTTTATTTACATTTTACACAGAGTCACAACTTTTTTGGAATTGGGATTGTAATTCTGGATACATCAGCGTTAATATCAGATATTCATTTTATTGGAAATTGATTCTGGATAGTAATATTACTGGAACTTCTTTTTGAATATCATTTTGTAATCATTTAATTCTAGATATTCATTGTATAAGAGCCTCTACAACAGCAGAAGACCACATCGAGTTCCACTCCTGTCAGCTAAGAACAGAAAGCTGAGGCTGCAGTGGGCACTGGCTCAACAAAACTGGACAGTTAAGGTCTGGAAAAACGTAGCCTGGTCTGCTGAACCTTTATTTCTGCTGATGCACACAGACAGTAGGGTCAGAATTTGGCACCAGCAGCATGAATCTATAGACCCAACCCGCCTTATGTCAGCAGTCCAGGCTGGTGGAGGTGGTGTAATGGGGTGGGGAATGTTTTCTTGGCACACTTTGGGGCATTGATACCAGTCAATCATTGCTCTAATGCCACAGCCTGTTTGAGTACTGTTGCTGACCATGTGCACCCCTTAATGGCCACAATTTACCATCTTCTAATGGCTCCTTCCAGCATGATAAAGCACCATGTCACAAAGTAAAAGTCTCTAACTGGTTTCATGAACATGATAATGAGTTCTGTGTTCTTCAGTGGCCTATCCCAGTCACTGGATTTGAATCCAATAGACCCCTTTGGGATGTGGCTGAATGAAAGATTCACAGCATGAACGCAACAATGTCAACATGGACCCGAATCTGAAAGGAAAGTTTCCAACATCTTCTGCAATGCCTTGAAAAACAGAGGCTGTTTTGAGAGCAAAGGAAGGCCCTACCCTGTATAAGTATAGTATTCCTAATAAACTGCTCAGTGAGTGTATTTCAACGGTTATTGAAGGATAAAAAAATGTAAAGTTCAATTAATGGAAATGGCATTTTATGGCTAAATAGAGTACTAGCATCATAGCAGAATTGGCTAACACTTTATTTGGATAGTCCACTTTAGACGCTTACTTTACTTTCAAGTTACATTCAACTAAATATCTCCTATCTACTACTACTTAACTCTAAACCTAAATCCTAACCATAACCTCAACCCAAAACCTAAACCCAACCCTCACCCTGGTCCGAGCCCCACTTTAACCCCACCACTGTTTAGAATCAACAGATAGTTTAACAATTTGAACATCTGTAGATCATCTATAGGGGACTATAGTGGACTATCCAAATAAAGTGAGACCCAGAATTGTTATACATTTATCACACACACACAAACACACACACACACACACACAATCTTCTAAGCAGCTTCTCCTTCTGGGTTGCGGGGGAGCTGGAGTCTATCACAGCAGTCATTGGGCAGAAGGCAGGATACACCCTGGACAGGTCACCAGTCCATCGCAGGGCTATAAATTTATCAGCAGCCATTTATTGAAACTATTGATTCCAAGCGTTTGAACAGTACACTGACTGTAATGTGGCCATAAATTATATTAAGTTACTCTACTGAATCTGCACTGGGCATCCCCTCTTTTAGTCTCTCTCTCTCTCTTTTATCTCTCTCTCTCTTTCCCTATGGGCAGGAAGCACTCTTCTCAGGTCTTATACAACTCCTGACTATTTACCGCAGTCATGAGCTCAGCTGCGTGTGTGTGTGTGTGTGTGTGTGTGTGTTTAGAAGATGCTCAGATGCTGAACAGAAGGCGTGTTTTTCTCAGAAGGTCACAGTCTTCTCACAAATCACAGCTTCTCTCCACTAAACAAAGTTCTGATTCTTACTGAAGCACGTGTGTGTGTGCACATGTGCATACACGTGTGTGTGGGTGTGGAAGCTCTTTCTTAAAATCATGATGGTAAGTTCAAAATCGTTTTGTCACTATCTAAGATCTGAATGTTCTGCAGGCTCACATGGTAGATGACTGTAAGTGTATTACTGAGTGTGAGCTGGAGTCCACTAACTGAATCATCGAAGATATTAAAGATAGCACTGACCATAACACAGTTGACCAGTCTCACCTGCAAAATCATCGTGGATCCAGGCCGTCCCTTCAGTAATAACACACTTAACCAGGTGTATTCTTTATTTTTCTAGTCATTTATTTTTGCACTTAAGTCCACTTATGATGTTTGCGTGGTTTTGTGTACCAAAAACAGTCAAAGGCTGAATGAGTTGAATATAAGTGAATATGTTCATGGCTGTGACAACTGTGATTTGGGATGGATTCTAGTGGACTAGTCTTGTAACGAGAACATGCGTCTGGCATTAACATAAAATTTTAGTGCTGGATTTTGCCAAGGAATGCCCCCTTCAAACCCCGCCCCCAATCAAAATCAATGTGATTGCTTGATTCCACTGTCAGGTCCTAAATGTTGTCATTGTAGCTCCATTTTTGTAGTTTTTCTTGATTTTTTTTTTATGATTTGAAAACTCCAGTTACCCTTTGAATTGTGTTAAAACTTCATAATGAACAGACCAACAGAAACGGTCCAAAAAAAAATCGTTATATTACTTTCATTACAGGTTTTCCTGTAATGTTATTATTTTGGAGGTATGAGTTTTGCTCCGTCAGCAATGATAAGTTAGTGCTTAAACCGACACATTAGGCCAGGGGTTAATTAGAGCCATTCTGTCCTTTCCACAAAAATATAGCCACCTTGTTTAATGTTTTACCATCTTGTCTGTAAATATGTCCCAGTGCTAGTACAGGCTAAAAATATAATATAAATGAAATATAATATAAATGATTTAGCTCAGCTATAGAGACTTTTCTCGCGTCTCTGGCAGGAAATGTTTACTCAAAGGTAAAATAGTTTTTGTAAAATGTCTCTCAATGGTCGAGTTTTTACGAGGCTGAAGTCGGCTTCTCATTTGTCAGCTTCTGATGTTTTAGTCTTTGATAGTTTCTCATTGCAGTTTAAACATCAGGAAACCAGCTGAGTGCTTATAAATGAAAATATGTCTATTCATCTTCAAATTATCCTGCATGTTGCCGATCCCTGCATTAGGCCTTCATTTCAGCTCCTGAAGTCCTAACCAATGGGAGAGCTCACTTAGCTGCATCTATTTAGATACACAGAGAAAAAAACCTGATTGGATAATTTTGTGTTTTCAGGAATTTAACTATTTTGTTTCCAACCAAACACTAATAATGAAGTGACAGTTATACTACAGTGCCTGCAGAGTTTAAATAAAACGAGCAGGTTGACTATTAAGTAAAGAAGAAAAAACAGTTACAGACATGTAAGTTTTTTATTTCACAGAAATCATTAAGCTATCCTCGAAGGCCTGGAAGGCCCTGAGGGTTTGTATGAGTGTTGTTTCAATATATAGGCCCAATCCTACTTCACCCCTCTCTTCTACCACTCAGGTGTCCTGATTTTTGTTAAGATAGAGGTGTAGAGCAAAGTGTTAGGGCTACACGGCCCTCCAAACAGAGGCTTTTCAGATACACACTCCAAACCCTCTGTTTAAAAATTATGATAAACATTGTTTATATATAGTTTAATGTCATTTCAATGTATTATGATTCTTTTCTTCATAACAAACATAAATATCGCTAGTAGTAGCTGATGTCTCGGTAGCTAGCTAGCTAAATTACCCGTTCCAACTTAAATGGTTCAGTAGTTACATTCTGGTGCTACAGGCATCAGAACCGCTGCTTCATTTAAGGTGGAACAGGAAAATTTGAACAAGAAGCTGGCGAATATCTGACTTCAGCTTCATATCACTGAAGAATTAGGGGTGGGCGATAATAAATAATTGCCCCCCTCTTTGAAGGCATATGATGGCCTAAACGTAACTAAAGCCCAGAAGTGACGTTGCTGAACTTTACCCTCCTCTGCTGTCACTGCAGACTGGCAGGGTCGCCTACAGAGCAGCGCTAGTAGCTGTTAACGAAGTAATGCTCTTTATTTGAGGGTCCCATTTCAGAGAGGAATTTCAACCACTACCCGTTATAACTCAGTTCCAAGGGGCAAGGTCACACCTGAAAACAAGGGGTAGGGGTATGATAATAGGTAATGATGCAGTTTGAAAATGTTACAAAGTTTATTTATTATTTTTATTACTGACTTTTTATGCTGTAGAGCTGGACAGAATCTCCACCCATCTTTAAAGTTAATAATATAAAAGTATCTCTCTTACATGAGTTCCTCAAAAAAATTGTTCTTTTCTTTTTTTAATGCTTGTCTTAGTCCTGCACAATTTTTAAAAAAAAACTCTTACAGAAGGGAAGATCAGAAGCAGCATGTTTGATAAAAAATACCCCTTTTTTTCCAAGACAGACAATGAGTGTTCTGTTATAAGAGGAACACATACTTACTTGTTGGTCAAAGAATGCACAGTGACTGGAAATCAAAACAGAGCTGCTGCGTTAAGGCCTCACTTCTACAGAGCTCATTCAGCGTTTGTGTTACATGTTAAGCTTGAGTTTGAGTCCTGGTGCTGCTTTTCTGTGGAAGGTCCCAGTCCACACGCGTCCCTCTGAGTCAGTGAACTCGCCCTCACCTTCAAATCTGAAAAGGAGCAAAAAAAATCATGAGCACAAAAATCATCCCACGTAACCAATTACTCAATAAACCCTCATACAGTCAACACAAGGCACGGCCATCGTATCCCACTGAGCTTGAGGTGAAAACATTAGTTTAGGATGTAATTCAGTAATATACTGAAATCTCATTGTCTTCAAACCCATAAATGGAGATCTTATGACCAATATTTAGTCCTATATGGGCCCTAAATTCTTTCTCTAAAGTGATTTCATGCTGGACAGCTGCAGGAGATATGGAGTGAAACTACGGAGTCATAACAACAGAATCAAAGATCTTGCATGTTTCTACATGAACCAGCCTTTACATACATTATCGCTGCTTTACACAGTAACGTCATACAAATTACTCAGCTGTAGCTTGTTGAAACAAGCAGAGATGCAGATTTTAAACTATCAATCTATACCACATTACTGTTTATAAATACACTATATGTCCAAAAGTATGTGGACAACACCCCTAATTAATGAGTTCAGGTGTTCACCCATTGCTAACAGGTATATAAAATCAAGAACACAACCATGCAATCTCCACAGACAAACATTAGAATGGGAGGCACTGAAGAGCTCAGTGGCACTGTCATAGGATGCCAACTTTGCCACGAGTCAGTTTGTGAAATTTCTGCCCTGCTAAATCTGCCCCTGCCAACTGTAAGTGCTATTATTGTGAAATGGAACTGTCTAGGAGCAACAACAGCTCAGCCATGAAGCATAAGACCACACAAACTCATAGGCTGTGTTCACACAGCAGGTAAAAGTGGACCAGTTTTCTCATCAAATCCGATTTTTTTTGTTTGGCTGTTCACATTATCTTTTAAATGTGACCTATATGTGACATTAGTCTAGAACAATGCTTCATATTGCTTCACGTGGCTCATCCAGAGGTGAACAATGACGTCCAACGAATGCCAGTCGCTCCCGGAGGGTTCAGCTTCATCTTTGCCAGGGTCACAGGAACGATCATGAAGCTTCACTGACTGACAGCTGGGCTCTTCACCCAGAATGTGTTTGATTTCAGCACCACATATGAAAGCGTCTCAAATCGGAATTACAAATGACGGATTCAGTGCGTTTTTTGCTGTTCACACTGACACACAGACACACATCTGTGTCACATATGAAGAAAAAAATCGGATTTGGGCCACTTTTACCTGCTGTGTAAACGTGTGAGTGGGGCTGACGAGTGCTGAAGCATGTAGCGTGTAAAAATCACCCATCCTTTGTTGCTTCATTCACTACAAAGTTCCAAAGTGCCTCTGGAAACAACATCAGCAGAAGAACTGTGTGTCAGGAGCTTCATGAAATGGGTTTCCATGGCTGAGCAGCTGCACAGAAGCCTAAGATCACTAGGTGCAATGCCAACTGTCGGCTGGAGTGGCATAAATCATGCTGCTGCTGGACTCTTGCAGTTTGATGGACAAATTTGGGTTTGATGGCTAGCATGAGAACTCTGCCTCCCAGAATGCATAGTGCCAACAGTAAAGTTTGGCTGAGGAGGGATAATGGGCTGGGGCTGTTTTTTTAGGGTTTGGGCTCCTGAGTTCCAGTGAAGATTAAGGTTAATGCTACAGCATATAAAGACTCTTTAGATGATTACATGCTGTATGGCAACAGTTAGGGAAGAGCCTTTCCTGTTCCAGCATGACTGTACTCCTGTGAACAAAGCACCATCTGTAAAAACATGGTTTAATAAGTTTGCTGGTCTGCATAGAGCCCTGACCTCAACCCCACTGACAGCTTCCAAACTACTTAAGCCATTGATGCACAATAATGTGACAATACAAAACTGTCATAACTGGCAAATTTCTAAGCTTATTGTTGGACTCAGGTGATTTTGTATGGAGCTGATGATGCCATAATGATGATGCTATAAGTAACTTATTAAGGTTAGTTGGGATCTAAGACGCAAGGCAAGAACATTAATAAGCATGTAACCTGTTGTTGTTGAACGTTCCAGAGTATTTGGTTCCATCAGGAAAGGAGTACGTTCCCCTGCCGTGATACATGTTCTCTCTGAACTGGCCTTCGTACACCGCGCCTGATGGGTGAGAAAGAGTCCCACTGCCATTCATCTGCAACAGACACACAGAAGACTACATTACCCATAAGGCACTCCTGTGAATAGCTGATAATTGTGTTGCTGCACTAAACATTCATAAATAAATAAATAAGAAATCGCTTATTTGAGATTATTTGACAACTCGACATGGTTTGAGGCAAATGTGTGATGATTCAGGCATGCAATTAGCATGAGGCTAATGCTATTGGTTAGGGTATAAGCTTCTGTTACGTGTTAGCTACATTAGCCCCATTTGTAAGGTATACCAGGTAAAATAAAAAGAAGCAAACTTCAGACACCAAAAATGTCCCCACTGGTTGCCTACATTTCGTGTAGCAGGGAAAAATGTGTAAATTAGATTTTTCACCAAACTATCGCTTTAAATGAAACTGTACATATATACATACTCATATACCTTATCATTGCTCCACTCTCCAACATACGTTGTTCCAGATGAAGAGATCTGTGTGCCAATGCCTTGTCTAATCACCACACCATCGGGGGTATGACCGCACTCCCCCTCTACCACAAACACACACATACAAACGTGTGTTACTGTCTTTGTGGGGTTTCCATGGTCTTGGCCTTGTGCACATGTCCCCAAAAAGTACTTAAACGCTCAAAGACCACCCTTCATTTATTTAATTTCCAAAACAGCATTTAAGCACAAATTATTAATTTTTCCGGAGATATTCTTGAGGTGAAAGGGAAAAAAACAGGAGTTTCCAAAATTGGAGTTCAAAAATTAATTAAAAGCTACAGAGAAAATGTTATGCCTAACAACCACCTGGAAGACCTGACAGACACCAAAACTGCCCCATCGGATGAAACAGCACTTAAAGCTTTCATCTTTGAGAGAGAGGAGAAAATCAAGCTGCTTCAGATCTGAAAACATCCACAGGTGTTTCTGTCCATCCTTCCACTGTGAGAAGACGACTCAGCGCTGTGGGTCTGAAAGGATGTGTAGCTGTCAAGAAGAACCTCACTGAGAAAAGGAGATGGACGCATCAAACAAAGAAGCTGAACAATGGACTGACCACCCCAGAGTCCAGACCTCAACAGCACTGAATGTGTTTGATTACTTCAGAAAATGATCAACCAGCTCCTAAGACTGAGCTTTGGAGGTGTGTCTGCAGATTTCTGTGAAAAACTGAAAGAATAGGAGCTGTAATAAAGGTAAAAAGTGAACACTTTAAATACTGAAAAAATTATATTACATTTAGTTGTTGATGCTTCTGTGTAATTTTCTGTTTAATATGTTTTGCTTCTTTTCTGGCACAAAAAAATGAGTAATTTGTACTTAATGGCCATTTTGACTGGAAATGAAATAAATGAAAGGGTGGTCTCTGACCTTTGCTCAGTTCTGTATATATGTAAATGCTGCTGTGCTCCACCCAACTCAACCTTAACCTTAACCCAAGTAAACATGAGATTAGCCATGACCTAATCTTACTTTTTCTAATAAAAACTGTATTTGTTGTTGTTTTTGCGTGGAGACCAGCCAAATTACCCCACAGCATCACAGTGTTCATGTTTTCCATTATGCTGGGACCATCTGGTCCCCACAAAGAGTTAAAAACATGGTTATACACACACAACTCAAACCGTAACTGCATTTATTTTAACAGTACAGAGGCTTTAATGAGTTTAAACGGCTATAGTCCTTAAATTAGACACATGTTGCACTCTGGACACTCACCATACTTGTCTCCATTTGGAAAAATGAATGATAATTTCAACATCTCCAGCTCTGAAACACAGAAATCTTTTTTAAATCAAACATATTAAAAGAAATCTGTAGACAGTCCTGGGGAGACTTAGACTGTATTACTTGTTTTTGTCTAAAAGAAGGATATTTGAGGTCATCTAGGTGACCGCATTAGGCTCAAAGTCTAAAATAAATCAAAGAACTTGCTAATCCGTCTGTTACAGTTCTAGCATAGCAGCTCTTGCCTACAGAGTCCCTAAAGTGCCGTGATGAGTATTTTCTAATAAGGCATGGTCACAAATTAATATTATGAGGCCAAAAGTTAAGTTTCTCATAACTTGTGGCCTCAATATAGTTATTTGTAGCCTCATAATATTAATTTGTGGACTCAATATCGTAATTCGTGGCCTTATTATATTAATTTGTGGCCTCTATATAGTAAATCATGGCCTCACTATATTAATTTTTTGGACTCAATATCGTAATTCGTGAACTCAAATTAATTTGTGACTCCAATACTATTTGTGGGCCCAATATAGTAATTTGTGGCCTCCATATAGTAAATTGTGGCCTCAGTATAGTTATTTGTGGCTTTGTCATATCAATTTGTGGCCTCAATATATTAAATTGTATTAGTAATTCGTGGCCTTAAAAATAGTACATTTTCTGGCCTCAATATAGTTTTTTGTGCCCTCAATATATTAATTTGTGGACTCAATATAGTAAATCGTGGCCTCACTATATTAATTTTTTGGACTCAATATCGTAATTTGTGAACTCAGAATCATCCATTTTAATTTGTAGCCTCAATGTATAAATTTGTAGTCACGCCTTATTAAAACATAACCACCATGTCACCTTAGGGGCTCCAGCTTCTCGAACTTTCTGAGAGGTTGGGTTATTGTAACACGCATGTAAGACGCTGCAGTGAGTTGTTGTAAATAAAGTGTGTTTTCCTGCCTCAGTGATGCTGAAGTGTTGGCAGTGATCTCCGTGTCTAACGTTACTCACCACACACGCTAATAAACACGACGCAGCAGACGATCCTCAGTAACAGCTCAGCTAAACACACTCAGTACTTCAACACGGACATCTTAAACTCCGGGGTGAAGAGCCCTCCTCATCACCATGGCAACCGACCAACACTTTAGTCCAAGGCTCAATCTCAAATGGTTACGTATTCCCTACTCACTATTCCCTATTTAGTACACTTACTTCTACACTCACAGATACATATGATACACCATACACAGCGCGGTAAATGTTGTACAGGCAGTTGTGCAGCTTATAGGAACGTCTTTCTGTTAATCATATAACATAAATTGGGTACTAAAGCCGTTATTTCATGTCCTACATAGTGCACTACGTAGGGAGTAAGGGAGCCTTTTGACATGCAACACAAGAATCATTACTGCCATCTAGTGGTTCAGTAACCGCATTGCAGTGTGTTCACTTTTTACACTCGCTTTCTAATATATATATATATATATATATATGGTTTATTGTGCCTTGTTGGGGTTTATTTCAATCATATATTTAGTGTAATTAATTTGATATTACTCAACCTTTAAATTGTAAATTTAAATTTGCCTCATAAATAAACTTGGTTTTACTGCCCCCGATGTATCAGGCACGTTTTATATTGTTTCTGTATGTTAATGAGTGCCTTGACGTAAATATGTCATAATATATTTTTTATTCATTTTGAATAATTTTTATTCATTTTAATTAATACAACACTCTGGTCTGATTCTGTCGTTGTAACCGCGTCTTTACTCTCTAGTGGTTCACTAGCAGCACTACATTCACAAATCGGAAAGGATGATATGTAACTATTTTGTTCTCCTTTTAAATAATTAATGTCACTTGATTTTACTTAGTGAAATTCTGTTGTTTTAAACGTGATGTTCCAGCAACTCTAGGTCCACAAATCATGGACGTGTCTTTGCTCCCGCCCAGTGTTCACTAAAGGCACTACAAATCAGGCAAGTTACGTTTATTACGTTTAATACTTTTATTAAGAATTACGTTTATGAACGTTATCTTGTTCTTCGACGTATCTATATTTTATAGTTTCTTAAATGTTTTAATTAGTTTTTTTTTTTAACTCAGTAATTAATTAGCACTTTGGTCAACTTCTGTTTCAAACAAGATGCAACCAACAATCATCATTTTTGGAAAACAAATGTTCTCACTTTTTTTAAATAAAAGTTTGAGTTGATGTAGTATGTAAACATTATGAAAGTTTTAAAAGGCACTGTTCACTCCACAGTCAGTACAGCCCATAGAAACTAATGACACCAGCTATTAGTCTTTTCAGACCTCTTTACATCCGAAAGTTGCTACAAATGTACAAACAGCATTTTGGAGTGAAACCCTCCTGTTTGGCCTCCAGCAGTTTAGCCCCGCACATTAATACTGAAGTTATAAGGAGTGTTTCAGCCAGGACTGGTTTTAGAAACAGCCACAATACAGGCCAGCCAATCAGAACAGAGCTCATTTACATATCTCAGTCTTATAGGCTCAGTAACACAAACAGCCCGTTGAAATGATAAAAAAGATTCTTTCAAGTGTGTAATTTGTCAGTCAGTGTTCAGATAAACAAGGCATACGCTGCAAACAGCACTGAAAGAGCACCATGTTGAACAGTAAAACAACAGTTAAGAGGGAAAAAATAACATAAAAGGCAGCTTAACGAGGGTCTTCATCAATCAACAAAACTTGGTCAGTTGCAGTTAACAGTCTTTGGGTTTTCTTGATTTTCACACTTTTCAGAGATTTACATTTTTTTTCTCATGAATTTATTTGTCACCTTCTCAGACCTAAAATTACAACCTTCAGTACACAAAGTGCTCATGTCTGAAGTGATATTACATTGCTTGATAATTTTTGCAAGGAGGTTGGGATGGCCACTCTGTTAAATTTAAATTCAAAATATTTTTTTTACACAATTTGTCATAGTCCAATATTTTCAGAGCTTGGAAAAATATCATGTGAAATTTTTGGAGTGTGGAAATTGTAAGTAAGTAAGTAAGTAAGTAAGTAAGTAAATAAATAAATAAATAAATAACCTGTGAAGCCAGAGAATTTGTAGAGATGAGAATTCCCACTCTGTAATGTCTTCTGGTTTTCTCAAACGCTAGAGGGCGCTCCCGAGCGAGTCCAAAACACAGGGCACAGAGCAACATAAAACATTTTAACCCTGCTTTTATATTTTTAAGAGCTTTTAAACTCGAGTTATAGAAGTTTAAAACGGCGCCTCATATACGTTCATGACGTCAGTGAGCGCGAACAGCCAATGAGCTGCTCCGCTCGCCAATCAATCATCACGCTCTAGCAGTAATGCCCGCCTTCTGCTGCCCAAAACCCGTTTGCTGTAGAAAAAGGAAACATATAAGTAAGATTTCTTTGTTTTTAGTGAAATACATCCTTCTACTTTCTAAAATTAAAGAAACGTTCTGGGTAAGCGATTAGAAACTATTTTAACTTTTCATTTTTAGCCGTTGAGCCCTCTGCTGTTTAACAGTCCTGATTTCGATATAACGGGGGAAATAGGAAGCGGCCAGACTCCTCATAAACCTGCTCTGATTATTCATTGCTTCACAATTTTTGCAAATAATTTGGGATGGCCACATTCGTTTAAATATAAATTAAAATGATTTTTTTACACAATTTGTCATAGTCCAATATTTTCAGAGCTTTGAAAAATGTCATGTACAATTTTTGGAGTGTGAAAATTGTAAATAAATAAATAAATAAATAAACAAACAAACAAACCTGTGTAATTGGAGCCTTTAAACGTGCTTGGTAAATAAACTTGACTTCACTGCCACCTGGTGGTTCACTAGTGACACTACAGCGCCCTCCTACCCGGAAACGAACCTTTACACTGGAGCAGTAAACACGTGTGTGAGGAGGACGGAGAGTGAAGGAGTAGCAGCTATACAGCTGGGTAAGTAAAGCGGTTTATGTTTATTATATCCATATTAATATTGATCCCACCATTGATACATAACGCACGTGTTTCTTTAATGAATGACACTTCAGTAAACTCCGTCCAGCCCTACAGCGGGAGTTTATGGTGGTTAGCTTAGCAGTTAAAGTCATCACAGCCGGTCCAAACCGAGGCTGAAGTCACTTCTCCTTCGCCAGCTACTTGTGCGAATTTTCCCGTTCCACCTTAAATGGTGCAGCAGTTACAGTATGTGAATGTAACTGCTCCACCATTTAAGGTGGAACGGGAAAATTTGAACAAGAAGCTGGTTTCAGCTTCGCTCACAGCAACAGGAATAGAACTCGGCTGCGTCCCAAAGCGCGTATTATTACTAGTACACTATGTGGGTCATTCTACTGAAACGTTCACTTTTGTGTCCCTAGGGTTTACAGATATATCACACTTAAAGTATGTTAGGCTTACAATTTTTTTACATTTTCAAATAAAACAAGGTATTTTAACAAACCTTCTTGAGCCTCAATTTAGCAATACTGGCTTTTAAATCAATTATCCAGAATTCCAAGCACCACAGAAGAGCTCGTCCCCACAGTCGTGTGTAAAGGCTGAGTCATATTCTGAACACATTTTTCTGCATTTTTAACTGCAATAATCTATACATCACTATGGCATATATAAATGAAATGCCAAATAAATATTATAAAATATACAACGAAAGTTGTCCCCAGGATTCGTGCCACTGGTGTTATCATATGACAAAAAATCTCTTATTTTGAAATAAAAATCACACTGATGACATCACTTGATTTCTTCTTACCTGTGTTCTGAGGATCTATGAAGAAAAGCACATGGTGAGTCCACTGTGTCTTTCAGTTATCAGAGATTTTCTCATTTAGCTCATGATTTCATATGAAGCTTTTAGTTGAAGTCACTGGTGTGACCGACTTTTTTTCAGAGCTTAGTGTGAAATGCTCCCTCAGTTTTGTTTTGTTGGCTGCCATCGTGCTTCTGTTAACTCTCCAATAAGTGGTAATGTCAAAACATTCCTAGTTAGCGTGAGAAACATGTGTGATGACATCACCAACTAATCGAGTATTAAATTAGTTGCCAACTAATTTGGTCGTCGATTTTAGTCGAGTAATCGTTACACCCCTACACTGAATCCCTCTATGTGACTGTTACAGCTCACCTACCACGCCATTCATACAGCATCTGCGCAGACCTACACTGGACATTCTCATCGATCTCAACAAAGTTCTCACACAGTTAGTCTTGTTTTGTCCATTTTGCTCTGCGAATGGTGGAGGTGGTGTTAAAAGCGTGCAGTTGTTCAGTCTCTGTGGGTTTCTGGCTTGTGGTGGGCTGTTGTTTCAGGTCTACACCTACTGAAAAAAGCCAGTGTAGCACAGAATGTTAACTAATTGACTATTATAAGTCATGAAATAAAGTATGTAGTGTCTTATTCAAATGTTACACCCATAAAATAAATAGCATAAGAATAAACCACGTGGAGCGGGCTTTCTCTGACGTGTGGGAAATAGAAGACGTGTGGAGTGATTACAGGGTGATTTATGTGAGGAGCGGACTCCACTCCACTCACATATTCTGGACTGGGATGTCCAGCGAGCTCTCACAGGTGTGATGCTCATGTGTCCACATACTTTTGGCCACCCATTTGGCTTCTGGCTGCTCTGGATTATGCCTCGTTGCAAAAACAGTCCAGACTGAAACACTTAATACACTGTTAGAAATAAAGGTTCTGTGCAGGTACATTTTTCATTCATCAAGGTACAAATAATGTAAATGTTCCCGCAAAGGTACAACAGTTGTTTTAAGGTCCGATTGTGTATCTTAAGTAAGCTTTTCCAGGTGAAAAGTACGTGTTTGTACCTTTTCATAACCAAATGATTTAAAACAGAACAATAAAATAAAAAGCCTGGAGACGAGACGGGGTGTGTGGAGTCAGTACAACTTAGACAATATCATTTCAATAGATTATGATACAGTTATGTTCCCTGACTAAAGGTACTGAGATGTACCCTTGAGGGTCCCACCCCGGTGACCGTTTCGTACCTTTATTTCTAAGAGTGTATTGCTTCCGAGTGAATGAGCAGTGTTAAACTGCTGTAGTTTGAAAAGACAGATATATGAAAATTTGTGACGTCAGTGGGGATCATTTACGGCATTTGGCAGACGCTCTTAACCAGAGCGACTTACAATTCGGTCATTTTTTTTTGCATAGGTAGGTGAATGTAGTGTTAGGAGTCTTGCCAAAGGACTCTTATTGGTATAGGTTAGGGTGCTTACCCAGGTAGGGATTGTACCCCGGTCTACAGTGTAGAAGGCAGAGGTGTTAGCCACTACACTATACCAACCGCTATGTCACTATGTCATAATGTCCCAAAACAGGGCTGAACGATTTAGGGAAAATATCGAATTCCATTTTTTTGTGACTAATAATGCGACTGCAACTTAAATTGTGATTATTGTCTATAAGGTATCAGTTCAGGCCTGTTTTTTTTCTTTTTGGCCAAGAAGTTCTTTTTTGGCTTGTTGCTTGAACTCTGAACACAGTTTGCCAAACTGCCAGTAAGTTGTGGTTGTGATGTGTCACAACATATGGAGATTTGGATGCCTCTGATTGATCTAACTCAGGGGTGCACAACTCCGGTCCTGGAGGGCCGATGTCCAGCACAGTTTGGAGGTTTCCCTGCTCAAACACACCCACTTAACCTTACAATTAACAGATAAGTGTGATCAGGTAAATCACCAAACTGTGCTGGAGCACCCCTGATCTAACTTATCTGCAGGCAGTTCACAAGCTTTGTGTTATTAGGTTAAATTTCTACTCTTAAAATGTAAGACGATGTTTTTGATAATGCAGGCTTTAAAAAAATTGCCGCTCTTGCAATTTGAAAATTGCACTCTCTCTTAAATTGCGATTTTGATGTAAAAATGTTTAATCTTACAACCCTTTCACAAATGTCAAAAGGGCAGTTTTTTCACGGGCTTAGTTTCAATATAGAAATCAACTGGACTGGGGAGCAATACATTGAATTGAGGTTTAACCTGCTGCCTTCCGAACACAATTCACTGCTTAAACTCAGTGTTTCTCACTGCAATGTTGGGGAATAAAAATAAGATTATGTATGCAAAATGGATGCCTTATGCAGTAAAACTCATTTAATGATGTTTCTTAAGCTCTGAATCCCCAAACGTGACAAAAGAAGATAAGGCTCTGCCCATTTGAATGCAGATTGGTGACTGAAGATTTCTTTAAGGCTTTGAGTGAACAAGTCAATCAATGAAAGCTTGTCTTGCTTCAAAGCCATTTCTTATTAGATCTGTGACGCGTGTGTGTGTGTGACCGCTCTCTGTGTGTTGTCAGGTCATGGGTAAGTCCAAGCAGGTCGGAAACCACAAAAGCGACAAAAAGAAGAACATTGCAAAGACATGGAAAACGAAGCGTAGGACGAAGGACCTGGATCAGATCCATGCGGACATGATCCCCGCAAACGCCGCCAAGCTGCTGAAACAGGACGTGGACTACGATGTCACAGGCTGCGCTCAGCACTACTGTCTGCACTGCGCGTGAGTCTCCCAAAGTCTGGTTTTTAGTAATAAAGTGTTCTCAAAAGAATCTGCATTAAAAATAGACTAGTTAATAATAATATGAATACTCTTGTGACTGTTGGGTTGATGTTCTTTTCTCTCTTTAACCCTCTTTCACTCACATGATGACAACAATGTTCGAAAAAAATAGTTGTTTTCTTGTATAAAATGGACCTGACTATTAAAACCTAAATTAAAAAAATGCATTTGTGGGTCTTTGGGGGGGGTACGTTGCCTTAAGGCAACATTATGTAACAATGGAAAGAAGTCATACAGAGCATCATAAAAAAACAAGGTTTTGTAATCTGAATATTTTGAATTAAACTCTGTTACTGCACAATTTGTTGATCTTCAAATACTAAAAATGCTAAATAAATCTTTTCCACGTTATATTCGAAAGAAAACGTATTACCATGATGAAACTCCGAGAAGAAATGTTTCCAAAAAGAGGTTTGAAAATACCTAACAAGCATGACCAAGTACACATTTTTATTGGTTTATTAAAATGATTCCCCTCATCATGCTTTATTATTAGAATTTCATTGTCATTAAGTGTGTATCATGTCACTGTAAAGTGAAGAAAATGGGTTTGTTGCCCTGAGGCAACATTATGCAGTAGAGGGTTAAGATTCTGATTCTTAGGCCACAAAAATTGCAGCCTAAATATCATTACAAAAGTCGATTAGATAGAATGGTTATTGTTTATAGATAGAAAAGGTTAAAATGAATGTATTATAGCTGGTTTAGTTGAATATATTCAACACAAATACATTTGTGCAAGGCGTCCGTGTCAGCTCACCTCAGAGTGCAACAAACTGCACCACTTTTCGTGCAAAAGGAGCAAAAATGCCTCAGAAGGGAACCACATGTGGAACCAGTTTAAAATTAACATATCCGATAGGTTTTCTACATTTTTTTCTGGTATATTTAGGTGTCCCAAAACAGTCATCATGCATTTCTTAAACCATTTTCTAACCTCTCTTCCTAAGGATTAAATAGATTGTTTCTTAGTTAGAGTTTTGCTTATTGTGTCAAGACCAATGTATGTAAATGAGTTCTGTTTTGATTGTCTTGTATTGTGCCTCTGTTAAAAAGCAGTCCAGTCTGAAACATTCCTTATGACATCAGTGTAAGAGGCTCAAGGCTTGAATTACTGTGGGCTGAATAAGAGGATATATGCAAATGAGTTGTTTCTTGTGACATCACAAAAACAATACATTCAAAACTTTTTGCAGCTTAGTTATCATATATGCCAGTCCATACTGTCTATATTACATCAAAGTCTTATATCTAAAAAGAGAGAAATTTTTGCCGTGATATTTGCTGTTTAAGAAGATGGCATAAATATTATTTTTATAGGTGAATGATTTTGAGAACAAGTACTCGAGTACCTCCAAGTAAATGTTTCAACAAAGAAAATATTTTAAAATATTTTAATGCAAATACCTGTTGGATATTACTGGTAAATAAGCATCATTTGTGGTGCTTATTCACTGTACACATAAAATACATTTGTTTTTTAATTTTTAATCATTCTGGGGACAATTTTTTTATGCTTTAGTTTTTTTTCTGCATTTTAGTTTTCATTTTCCTTAATAGTTTTAATTTTAGCTTTAATTTACTGTATCACTGAGGACCTGTTTCCCAGATTCCCAGATTTGGCCTAGTCCTGGACTGCACAGATTCTGAGTTGAAATTCTTTACTGAAATGAAAGTCTAGTCTCTGTCTGGGAAACTGACTGTATGGCCTTAATGTAAGGCTATGACACCATTAACCTGGTTTGCTATATTGGCCCTGTTGACCCACACTGGATGATTAATTGAGATAATTGTTGATTGCAGGCGATACTTTGTTGACCTGAAAACCCTGAAGGAGCATTTCAAGACCAAAGTCCATAAAAAACGGTGAGATTTTACTTTTTCTTCTCTGTCCACAGTTTCTCACTCTAATGTAAACAAAAGGGTGTTTGAATCCACTGTTGATGATGCATTAATTTGCTGCTTGCTGTTTAAAAGTTCACTGGCTCTAGAGATCCTTTCTAACCATTTTGTGTTGCAAGAACCCAAGTTTTGACAAATGGAGGATCATACTTATTAATTAGCTCAAGAAAAATCAAAGGAGGGTGAATCCTCATTGTCAAAGAAGCGAAAACATGACAGCCACTGTAGGTTTTGCTACGTGCTTGGAAAGGGAGGGGTGAGGGAGGGATATTCAGTTGGTTGCAAATCTGCAGCCTCACCACTAGATGTCACTAAATCTTACACGTGGCATTTTTAATGCCGTTATTTAATACAATACATTTTTTCAAAGCGTGACTGTAGCAAACTACTGAGCTACCTAGCTGTGTTCAGCTAAAGCACCGCCAAGGGAGCCTGTCGTAGTCCTCCTTAACGGAGACAGCGACTGCAGGTATATGTAATATGTGCTCTATGAAATAATTGCAGACACAAGCTTTTATCCCAATTATATCTTACCTATATCTTCATATAAAACGATGTTGACTAGCTAGCTGCTATCTGAACTGTTCTTGGTCTAAATGGTCCCCCCAGTAGCTAACGCTTGGTAGCAGCTAATATAAGCTACCTAGCATGGCACGGCAACGGCGCCGCCATTTTGGGGCGGTCAACATCGCTGCTGGACTGCATTAAGTACCATTACAGAGCGGCAGTTTGAGAAAAGCACTGTCCAATATTATACTATTTCAAGAATATTGCTCTCAGAAAGCGGGATGGGATTATATAACGGAGGGAACGCAGCGATCCACGCTCAGGTTTGTGTGATGCGCATTGTTTGTGTGATGTTCTTGTGTAGATATGGCCGTGCGGTTGGTGATGCACAGAGAACCTGTTGATGTGATTGTTTTTCCTCTGGTTTTATATTAAGCTTACTTTATTTAATAGTCTGTTCAGGTAATCTTAACTTTATGTAGTATTTATTTATTTACAATGATGGTTAATGCTTTGTAGGTAAATTATAGCATTCCTTAATCCTTGTAGATATTCATAACAGATTGACGTTAGAACCTTCTTACACGAACCTGAAATTAGCTTCTTATTTGCCGCTTCTTGTTCATAGTTTCCCGTTCCACCTTAAATTGTGCCTGAAGCAGCTTTCTGGTGCCTGAAGCTGCACCATTTAAGGTGGAACGGGAAAACTCAAACAAGAAGCGGGCGAATAGGAATCCAACTTTAGCTTCGTCCTTCTTACTGTGTTCTGAGGGGGTTTATTTTAATTGACGGATTTGCTGATTGTGAGATTGTGTTTCTACTCGCACTAAATAGGCCCTTTAGCTTCCTGTAGTGTTGCAATCTGACCACTTGAATCAAATGAACATTATAGCCCTCCTAATATATTTGGTGTCAGTTTGACCCCATTCAGTGTTTATCTCTAAATAAAAGCTTGGCTTTTTTTGATTCATATTTAATGACATTTCCTAATTTAATGTGGAAAACTGGGCAAACATAAAATGATATGCTTTCCAAGACTTGTACAGGTTTTGTGCGCATTGGTGTTTGGGTCTGTTTGACCCCAGGTTTCAGCTGTGATTTATTATAATACAGAATATATTTCCAGAGATTTAAATTGCTGGGGCCAAACTAACCCCAAGGATAAAAGATGTTATTAAGTTTGAGGACAACAGGAGGGATAGAACATTCTAGAAAGGTTTCTTTCCTCAGTAATGTATTGCATTGAAGCTTCAGCCTTTTTTCCACAATCAACATTGTCAACAGCTAGTTGTCTTTCTCGACTAATCATGGCAGTGATACTCTGTTGTTAATTATGTACAACAACCGTCTCATGGTCCGTCAGGTTGAAGCAGTTGAGAGAGGAGCCGTACACCCAGGCTGAGGCTGAGAGAGCAGCGGGGATGGGCTCCTATATCCCGCCGAAAAAGGTGGAGGTTCACACACAGCAAGTGGAGGAGGACATGGAATGAACGCCCTGGTTTTCCCTGCAGCGCTGGAGCATAACGATCACTGTTAAGATGGTGGAGTCTGCATCACTTGCAAAGCTTTAAATGATCTTAATGTGATCTTAATGCTGTCAAGCATTGTGGGAAACCTGCTTTGCTATTTGGACTTGTCTGTTTAACACCTTAACCATTTTCGCTCTGTTTGAGATTTAAATAATGCAATGGCGCAGTAGTTCAGGGTGTATCATAATAATTAGTCTGTAATAAAATTTCAGGCAGGCGTAAAGCTTGTCCTGCTCGAAATGAGCAAATGGTGAACAATTACACCTAAACATTTTCAGAGAGGCACAATGCTGCACTTTTTAATAATTCCCTGCTACAACGAGTTCAACTACTTATCAAGCCCTTTGTTAGTTGAATCAGGGTGGCAAGAAGAGGAAACTGTGCAGAACACACTCTTACATCCTTACACTGCTGGTTCAGTCAGCCTGGTGTGGTTTAGTCTCCAATCAAATCCCACAGTGATAAACTGACATTACTGTTGGTTTATTCTGTTTATCTGGATTTGCTTATTTTTGAAATCTGTGTGAATACAAGTGTCTTACATTTGCATTCATGTGTAAATAAAAAATTGTGAATTCACAGTTTGTTTAAAAAAAGATTTTGGCATGACTCTCTTATTTCTGTTGTTCAGAGCGAAATTAAGAAAGACATTACTGTTGGAACCAAAACATTTTCTATTTTCCATTTTTAGAGTATTTTCTATATTCATGTACTGACAGGTACATCAGTAACTGTCTTATTTAATTTAGAGTGATTTGATGTGAAATGGCTCATTGTAGAGAAAAGTACCAACTCAGATTTCATTACAGTGGTGGTGATAGGAACCAGGGGTCATAATGTCTATATATGTAGTGTTAATGGAAGTAAAATAGAGGTAAATCTGAAAAAGCAGTGTCTTTGCCATGTACCTCTCCACAATGAATGGATTTAAAAAGTATAGTTTAGGCCAATACGTTATCTCAGTGCTATTACAAAACGTGTCTGCCTTCGTTCAGTGTATTACCATGTCATGTAATAGCTTCCTGTGAGAGAGCTTTTAGAGGCAGACATCTGGTTCCTATCACCACCACTGTGATCAATTCTGACTCTGTAACAGAGCATTTCATACCAAACCACTCTGAATGATGACGTTTACATCTTAATAATTTTATTATGCAGACATTTTGAATAATTGGTGGAGTTCCCCTTCAACAATAAAATTATGGTCATGGCGGAAGGGTAAAAAGACCATGACAAGGTTTGTAAAAATCACAAATGTGTGTTTATGAAATTTAAACATCTGTACCTGTGCAGAGTGTTGATTTATTGTCAAATAATTAGAATAGACTGCATGTCTTCAAGCAGAACTCTTCTTGAGGCAATCCAAAGAAAAAGCCAAATACAAGTAAATTTGGATAAATGGCTTTGGTATCTTTAATATGATAATACTTTAATGAGTAAGCCATGGGAGTTATTTAAAATTTAAGGCTTTAAAATCTTGATACAAAACATTTGACTCTTGAATCCCACGTTGTCAGTGGTTGATGTAAAACACATTTTGAAGGGGTAAGAAATGGGACACTGGCCCTTTAAGAATGTAGCGCTCTTTCCCATCCAGCTGCGTTATTTTTTCCCACCGTTATTCCGCCAAGTCCCGCCTCCTGCGTCGCTGGGATAGACTAGTAGTTCAATACTCGCATGAGTCCGCTGTTCTAGAACGCCACGCCAACCAATCGTAGAACAGTAAGGAGGCGGGGTTTGCCTGAATACGGGTGGGGTAATATAACGGCGAATACGACGTCTCTCCTCTCCCCCAGATTCGAGTTGGAATCCAAGAAGAAATGTGAGGAATTAGGGGAAGCTGGAAGAAAACTGTCCCTCGCAGGATTCCTAAACGTTTTCGGTAGCTTTTTTAACTTGAAAGCTATGAAAAAACTCGATGGTAGAGAGAGTGTCTGGTAGCGTTTAGCTTAGCCCGAACATGACGGCGGAGGGGGCTGAAGCTGCGCCGCGGACAGAGAGCTCCTCGTGTCCGGGGAAGGAGCGCCAGACTCCGGCGTCGGTGGAAGGAGGAGCCGGTCGTTCCCGAAGGAGCTGGGCGCTTTCCACGCTGCTTATAGTCGTTGCTGTTCCCATTGTCGGTGTGGGCATCAGATACTACCAAGATACTTTGATTTGGAGGCGGCATGTAAGTTTGAATTTTCTGGAACTGCTCGGAATTTTTCCGTTCCACCTTAAATGGTGCAGCAGTTACATTCAGAATGTAACCGCTGCACCATTTAAGGTGGAACGGGAAAAAATCGAATGGGAAGCTGATTGAAGTACATTAAAATTGTAATGAGGGACTGTGTTGCTTTGTTAACGGTCTGATTGACCAATCAAAAGATGCAAAAGGGAGCCATTGCTAGGAAAATGCAAAAGAAAGAAAATCACTGGTCAACTTTTATTTGAACACTGGACTGATCAGTCCATCCTATGGACATAAAGGAAGAAGCCTAGTTCTTGCATTGCACAGCCAAAGTCTATTTGCCACGTATTGTTAACTGGTAGGAATAACACCACTGTTACAGCACCTTAACTGTCCCCAGCTGTTTGTACTTCAGGGATGGGGGTAGTTGCATGTTTGCCCCAGCTGGTAGTGTGCAAACCACCCCCCCTCCAACTTGAGGCAAGTGTGCCAGACTTCAAGCTGCTCCCTCCATTAGACAGTGGTCTGTGTGCACATACTCACAGACTGCACGCCCTCCCAGTCTGGATAACTGGCCAAGTGGAGTGGAGAGACCCCATTTACTACTGAGCAGCGTATGGGACGAGTAGGGATGCAGGACTCTCCACTGATCAGCCATAACATTGAAACTACCTCCTTGTTTCTACACTCATTGTCCATTTTATCAGCTCCACTGACCACATAGGAGCACTTTGTAGTTCTACAATTACAGAGTGTAGTCCATCTCGTTTCTCTGCTTACTTCCTTAGCCCACTTTCAGCCTGTTCTTCAATGGTCAGGACCCCCATAGGACCACCACAGAGCAGGTATTATTTGTGTGGTGGATCATTAGCGCTGCAGTGACACTGATGTATTGGTGGCGTGTTAGTGTGTGTTGTGCTGGTGCGAGTGGATCAGAGACAGCTGGAGTTTTTAAACAGTGTCCACTCACTGTCCACTCTATTAGACATTCCTACGTTGTTGGTCCACCCTGTAGATGTAAAGTCAGAGACAGTGTCTGAAAATGAAAATGACAGGGCGGTTGTTTGAAAGTCATCTCGTTGCCTTGGGCTAATTGTTCAGTGCTGCGTTCCTCGGCCAGCAGTGTGCCTTTCAGCACCAGTGGACCGTGAGAAACGCGGCACAGTTGTCAAGGCTCCATTCCTGTCTTTCAGGAAGCTGGACTGAAGACCCTGGGACCAGAGGGACTCTTCTTGTTCTCGTCTCTGGACGTAGACCATGACCTGTACCTCAGCCCTGAGGAGTTCAAACCCATTGCAGAAAAACTCACAGGTTTGACAAATGCATTTCTTCGACTATGTTTGGAAAGCTAGCCCTTATTTAAAGCAGTCAACTGTTATGAGCCCATTATCGTCCAGATCATTGCTAGCTATGAGTTCAAGAGGTTGTGGTTTAGAGCAATGCCTGCCAACACCTCACTAACCATCAAAGCCTATGAGGAGGATATTGTCTGACACATTTCTCTTTGTGCCTCTACCTTGAAGGTATTTCCCCACCTGCAGAGTTTGAGGAAGAGTTCCTCCATGACCCGAACGGAGAGACTCTCACCCTTAATGCCAAAATGCAGCCATTGCTGCTGGAGACCATGACCAAGAGCAAGGATGGCTTCCTAGGGGTAATGTTTCATCCTTTGCATCCTGTCTTAATCAAGTAATAGTCACAGTTTCAAAAAACATTTGGGAAAATTAGACTTTTTTTTTTTTTACTTGACGAGATAAAACATGTTTGGAGAAGACAAAAAACAAAGTATTTTTGCTTGCTTTATACTCGTTTTAATTTGTGAAACTCACATGCCACGAGTTGTATACTGTGAGTTGGATGCAACATAATTGCCATTGACAGTTACACAAACTTAGAAACCAAGTTGCACGCAACACACTTAGTTGCTCCAGATAAGCCAGATAAGCAGCTCATATTTTGATACACTGCGTCGTTCTCGCTGTCATATGCCGTGAGGGGTAATTTGCATATTTGCAGAATTTTATATCTTTGTGCATTTAATACAACCCTATTTCCAAAAACGTTGGGACGCTGTGCAAAATGCAAATAAAAACAAAATGCAATGATGTGCAAATCATATAAACCCTATATTCAATTGGAAATAGTACTAAGGCAACATATCAGATGTTGAAACTGAGAAATTGTATTGTTTTTTTTTAATTTGATGCCAACAACACGTTCCACAAAAGTTGGTAAGGTGGCAAGAAAGACTGGTAAAGTTGTGTAGTGCTAAAAAAAAAACACCTGGTGATTGATTGGCAACAGGTCAGCAACATGATTGGATATAAAAAGAGCATCTCAGGGAGGCTGTTTTTTTTTCAGGGGTAAAGATGAGGAAGTTTAAACTCTAAAACGCAAAGAAGAAACTGTACATAAACTGGATCCAGAAACGCTGCCATCTTCTCTGGGCCTAAACTCATTTAAAATGGACTGAGGGGAAGTGGAAAAGTGTCCTGTGGTCCGACGAATCAACATTTGAAATTCTTTTTGGAAATCATGGACACTGTGTCCTCCAGGCTAAAGACCACTTAGCTTGTTATTAGTGCCCAGTTCAAAAGCCGGTATTCATAATGGTACAGGGGGGCATTTGTGCACATGGTATGGGTGACGTGCACATCTGTGAAGGCACCATTAATGCTGAATGATATATACATATTTTGGCAGCATAAGCTGCCATTCAGACATCTTTTTCAGGGAAGGCCTTGATTATTTCAGCAAGACAATGTCAAACCACATTCTGCATGTATTACAACAGCATTGCTCTGTATTACAAGAGTCCAGGTGCTAAAGTGACCTGCCTGCAGTCCAGATCTGTCAGCCACTGAGAACATTTGGCGTATTATGAAATGAGAAATACGACAAATGAGTCCCCGAACTGTTGAGCAGCTGAAATGCTCTGTCAAACAAGAATGGGGAAACATTACACTTTCAAAATTACACCAATTGGTCTCCTCAGTTCCCAAACACTTACAGAGTGTTGTTAAAAGAAGAGGTGATGAAACACAGTGGTAAACAGGCCCCCGTCCCAACTTTTTTGGAATGTGTTGTTGGCATCCAATTCAAAATGAGCATATATTTTTCAAAAAACAATACAATTTTCTCAGTTTCAACATTTGATATGTTGTCTTTGTAGTATTTTCCTGTAAAAATATGGTTTACATTATTTGCATATCATTGTATTCTACTTTTCTTAACATTCTGCACAGCGTCCCAACGTTTTTGGAAATGGGGTTGTGTTTTTGTGATGCTTTTCAAGCACCAAATAAATCATCTTATGTTTTATTGTCTTTTCAATTGATCTGGTGAAATCAGTCTTCTTAAAGTATGTCTTTCAAAGTGATCATGTGATGTGTTGTCTCCATTTTGATTGGCTGTTACATGAAACTTCTTTCAAGAAGTTGAAATGCTTGCAGCTGTTTTAGCTGAGTTTCAAGCGCGGTTTAGCTTCAGATGGGTTTCAAGCGAAAAGTTGCATTAAAGTTTCGCCATGTAAAGCCTTAGCTTTGCGTTAGAACTACATGGCTATTGTATGTAACAAATAATGGAAGCTTATAACCCATCAATTAGCATCATGCAAACTGAATCTCCGATAGGCTTGCTTATGTGGTTTCGGACACCAACTTTGCAAAGCAAACTTTGGACCCCAGACATGTCTGTGGTGAAGAGAGTATTGTGTCTGATTGGTCACTGAACTGTCAAAAAAACAGAGTAATCTGTACAAAGAAGAGACAGGTGCATTCTGAAAGAAAGGTCAGTTAAATCCTTTGTCTCTGTAGGTGTCCCATAGTTCCCTGAGTGGGCTGCGTTCATGGAAGAGCCCTGCTACTCCGTCCTCCACTTTCTCTGCAGCTCAGTTCCGGGCGTTTCTGCCTCCGAAGGGTAAAGGGGAGCTGGGAGACACATGGTGGATCATACCCAGCGAACTCAACATCTTCACCGGCTACCTGCCCAACAACCGCTACCACCCTCCAACCCCCCGCGGCAAAGAGGTACAGTCTGAAAATCTGTCATTCATTGACTTGAGTGACCACTATAGGAATATATTTTTATAGATAGAGATTTTATTAATGCTGAAGGAAACTGCAAAGTAACAAAAGCAGCTATACAGATCAGATACGTAACAATTAAAATGTACAGAATTTTAAAACTTTTACAGTGTGTACTTGAATGCAAGTGAATATTTACACTGTATATGTATATTTATGCTTTTTATATTTTTAAAATTGTGCAGTACACATGTATGTATTGTTCCAGATGAAAATAGACAGAATCACACTGTTTATCTATAGATTACTAATGTAATTGCAGACTGTACTTAAAAACATTCTTCTATGTAGAATCATGAACACTTAAAAACACATCATTAAAGGGTTCTTCAGATTGATGGAAATGGGTTTTATATGGTTCTATATAGAAACTTTTTGAAAAGGGTTCTTCTATTGTTACAGACTTGACATTGTTACAATAGAAGAAACGTTTTTTGGTGCTATATAGAACCTTTTTCAAAAAGGTTGTACATAGAACCATTTTCTTGACTAAAGAAGTCCTTGAGGAACCATAACTTTTAAGGGTGTGTTATGAAGTTACACAGCGTCATTAAAAGTGAGTTCCACCATTTTTTTTTTTAATTAAGTGGTTAAGAGGCTGACAAAGTCAGTTTAGAGTGGTTTTAATGTGAAATGTTCCATCCTAGAGAAATTTCAGAAGTCAGAAATTCTTACAGTGGTGGTGATAGGAACCGAAGTTTAACACCTGTAAAAGCTCCCTCACAGAAAGTTATTACATGGAATGGTAATGAATACATGGCCTGATGCCTGAAATGCCTTTTTATGACATTTTTGAGAGAAGACTTTGGCCTAAAATGTATTTTAACACACATTAGGTGGAGGCGTGCATATAGGGTGCCCCCCCAAAAATTATTTTTTTCTGATTTATCATTATCAACATTACTTTAAAAAAAAAACAGTAAGTTCACTGGTGGTTTTGAATCTGATAGAAAAAAGACTGCACACTAATTTCACCGACAGTTCATCAGTTTGATCTTTGGCGTGTCTGTATGATAAACCTCATGACTGGTAGGACTTTGAGCGTAATAGTTTAACCTGAAAAATAGTCCCCAAACAAAACTGTTGATCTCGCATATAAAAACTCGTCCTGGATAGTAAATAAAATAGCTATATATGCAGACACAGAGTTTCTGTACCATGAAGTGTCACACCAAACCACTCAGACTTTATTTACATTTCAACAATTGGATTATGCAGAAATTTTGAAAAAAATATGAAATTCCACTTTAAGCCTGAAAGACGTTCAGTGGTGCCAGTGACAGTTTGTTGTATTTACATGTTTTAGGAAAAAAACTCACTTTTTTGCAGTAAAGTGTTTTTCGACCCAGATACTCGGTTCATATAAATATTTAGTTACGACTTAAAGATGCTCTTAGTGCATAAGAAGGCGCCCTCAAGATAATTTTTCTTAAGGGAGCCAAGATTCTTCAGTGTTTGCTTAAGAACGCTATGTACGCTTGACCACAGTGTGGTTGCGGAGTATGCTGGCTGTCGGTTTGCTGGGCTAGTGGGCTGAAGAAGCTGTGGAGGATGCCAGTAAACTGGAGGAAATAGAGAAGATAGGACTTTTCTGTTTTGGTGTACAGTTTGGACTAAATGAAGGTGGACATTTGAGAAGAATGCGATTGCAGCTTCTGTAACCATTATGGCCAGTATGCTCCATCCTTTGAAGAGCACTTTAAGTAGCAGGTTTACAACCAGAAAACATAAGCAGTGTTTTATGCAAGTGGCCATTAGAGGAATTAGTTCTGGCGACTGTATGTGTCAGACTAGGGCTGAACGATTTGGGGAAAGTATCTAATTGCGATTATTCTATTCTAATGTTGCAACTGCAATTTAAATTACAATATTTTATAAATTGAGATTCAGGCCTGATTTATTTTGGCCAAGAAGACCAGAATATCCACCTTTTTTGGCTTCAGGCTTGACCCTGAATGTGGTGAGCCAAACTGCCAGGAAGTTGTGGTTGTGATGTCACCACACATGGAGGTTTGGTTGCCTCTTAGTGGTCTAACTTATCTACTGGCATTTCACGAGCTCTGATTAGGCTCAATTTCCCTCTTAAAATTGTTTTTGTGAATGTACACACTTAAAATCGATGGTTCTTTAAGGGTTTTTTAGTAAAGACAGTGGTACTATACAGAACCATTGTCACTCCACAACCCATGTGCATGCTTACAAAGTTCTTTGCATGGTAAAATGGTTCATTAGATTGGTGGAGAATGGGCTGTATGTGGTTCTGTATAGCAGCAGTTCTATATAGCACCCAAAAGTTCTTCTGTTGTTACAAGCTTGACATTGTAACAGTAGTAGAACCCTTTTTGGTACTATATAGAACCATACACAACACATTCTCCATCATCCTTAGGAACTATTTCACCGTGCCAAAAAACATTACCATGAAAATGGGTCTTTTACTGTTTATGGTTCTATATGGAACCACCATCTTTTTAAAGAACCTTAAGAATCTCTTTTAAGAGTGTAGGCTTTAATTAAAAAAAGTGTAGCTGTTGTGATTTGAAAATTGCACTGTCTTAAACTGCGATTTCGATATAAAGCGATTAATCTTTCAGCCCTGTGTCAGACTGCTGGAGATTTATGATTATGATCAATTAAAATATTGAATCTTGCTTATCTACCATTTCTCAAGGCTTTCAAGGGCTGTTGTTTTGGATTGTCCTGAATTGTGATATCCAAGTGTGCACTTTTATCAAATACCAAGAGGCTTCCTCTTATCACAATTAAAGGGGAATTCCAAGTTTTCAAAATTTCTCCATAATTTAGAACAGAATCATTTAGAGTGGTTAGATGTGAAATGGAGAAATTAATAACTCAGATTACTTTACAGTGATGTCACCAGGGGTCACAATAACACAAATATAGACTTATTAAAAGGCTTTTGGGGGGAAAAAAAAGCTTGTCACAAGTAAGTTATAGCTGAAAATCCTATTGCAAAACTATTGTAAAACAGTCTCTCAAGCGTGAGGCAACATTCATAACCATTTCATGTAGTAACTGTCTGTGATGGAGCTTTTAGGGGCATAAACTAATTCAGACGTCTGGTTCCCTTCACCACCACTGTGAACAATTTCGAGTTTCTCTAGAATGGAACATTTCACATCAAACCACTCTGACTTTGTTTACACCTTATGAATAAATTATGTAGCATTGTGCAAAATGTTTTTGAAAAATTAGTGTAAGCAGCATATTTTACAACATTTAGAAATGCAGTGTTGAGAGCTGTAACAGTTAAGAGCCTTAACGTTGTAACGTGTGGTACTGGATCTGTATCTGAGCTCATCTCTTGGTGTTTCTCTTCTCTTCCGACCCTTCAGGTTCTGATCCATAACCTGCTCAGTATGTTTCATCCTCGGCCCTTTGTCAAATCCCGCTTTGCTCCTCAGGGAGTCGTGGCCTGCGTACGAGCCGTCAGCGACTTCTACTACGACATTGTGTTCAGGTATTGACCTTAAAGCTGGATCAATGTAGGGAAACTTACCGAGTGAGATGTCTTTACAGTGGTGGTGATGGGAACCAGGAGTTACAATGACCTACAACACAAATGTAGCCATTTTATTTACTATTCAAAACCACAAATGAACCTACTCGTCTTCTGAAATGTTCTATGTAATGTTGATGAGGGTACAAATAGTGGAAATCTGAAAAAATGGTATTATTTGGGGGCTGTTTTGCCTCACAATACTGCATTTACCTTCCCACCGTGAGTGAACCTCAGAATCCTTGCCTGAGGAACAGCATTGCCTCAGGCATAGTGCAGCATAGTCATAAACAATTTATGTAATAACTGTCTGTGTGTGGTGTAGCTTTTAGACACAAACTCTTCAGACGTCTGGTTCCCATCACCACCACTGTAGACAATTCTGAGTCAATGTGTTTCTCTAGAATGGAGCTTTTCACATCAAACCACTCTGAATGACTGTTTACATCTTAATGATTTCATTGTGCTGAAATTTAAGAATAGTGGAATTCCCCTTTAAAAGATTCTTAATGCATCCCCACTTGTTTGCCTCCTCTCCTTTTAATGCGATAGATGGGAGCCAATTCTTTGATCATCCTCAGTCTTGAGTTGCTTTGCAATTTATTAATCAGACTTAAGGAATGTTCTGGATTGCAGCGCTGAGGTTTTGAAACCGCATCTAAACAGAAGAGAAGGCTGCTTTCGGATGACATTTCTCACGCTTCCTCACATTCTCTTTCCTTATAAGTCTTTCGAGGAGGACTGGAGCATTTGATTTTAGTTTCACGTAGGCAGAAGTTAACTTCTCTTCAACAGTACCTAACAGTAAAATCAAACTGGTCTGTTACAGTGATGATCAGCTGTTTCAGCTACTTGTTTTGTGTTCCTAACCACAGGATACATGCCGAGTTCCAGCTGAATGAGGTGCCAAATTTCCCGTTCTGGTTCACTCCTGGCCAGTTTGCTGGTCACATCGTCCTCTCCAAAGATGCCTCTCATGTCCGGGATTTCCATCTCTATGTACCTAATGACAAGTCAGTATCCTGCAGTACCTGTTTAACTTGTAATTATACAGATGCCATTTTAGAGCTCACACTGGTAGGAGCTTTAAGTGCCTCTGTTGAGTTTCGGGTTTGTGGACCGTCTAAAGAGCCCATATCCTACATTGTTCTCATTGTGTTTTTTTACCCAAGGTCCACTGATAATGTTTGTGTGGGTTTATGTACCAAAAGCTAAAAGGAATTCATTTTTGTGGCCATTTTCCAACCTCTGTTTATCCCTTTAGCAAGCTGTTTTTGTTAAGAAATTTAAATGATCATTGTTTTGGGTCTCCAGATCTCTGAATGTTGATATGGAGTGGCTGTATGGTGCCAGCGAGAGCAGCAGCATGGAAGTGGACATTGGCTACCTGCCACAGGTACGTTCCCACCTAATAATAACAGCATTACTCTCTATTTGGACCTTTTGGACCAAATGCTCACCATTCATCATCAGAAATGTTCAGTAGGGGGAGAAAGTGACTCTAATTAAAGAAAAGTGTCTCAAGATGTTTTTAAGGGCTCATATCCAACATCATTTATTTTATGATTTTTGTAATTCTAATTTTTCTGTTTCATAATTCATTTTCCATTTTCCAACCTGCTATACAAGCATGCGTAGCAGTGAGAGTGCTGATAAACACCGAGTTCAAGGTTTTTTTTCAGACTCTGCTCATACACATTTTAATGAAGTAAAACTTTCAACATGGTTTATCATGCTTGGTATCAGTTTGCTACACGTTCACAAACCGGCTGTTTTCGAGCTGAAAGATACGAGGTGAAAAAAAAGACTAGGATAGAAATGCTAGATGAGGTAACCTACCATTAGCATTTGTCTGTTGATCTAAGGCCCTGTTCACATTCGGCATTAACATAAGCACGAAAGGGCGGGGCTAAACTTCTGTAGGTTGAGTAGGTGGATATATGTAAATGTGTTTGTTTTTGTGACATCACAGAAACAGTGCATTCAAAGCAGGCTGTTTTTGCAGCTTAGTTTTCATATATGGACTTAAGCAGGGCTTATATGCTATATCAAAACAGATTAATTCATTTTTCCACAGCCCTTATTCAAATGCTTAGATTGATTTAGCATCTCCTACTTTCAATGAAAATGAACTGCAGGTATTTTAACAAGATACGATGCAGTACGTATGAAAAAAATTCACACACAGTGATGTTTATTTTCAGATGGAGTTGCGAACGGCCGGTCCGTCCACACCCTCTGTGATCTATGACGAGCAGGGGAACGTGATTGACAGCCGGGGGGAGGGAGGAGAGCCCATTCAGTTTGTTTTCGAGGAGATCCACTGGAGCTCCGAGATCAGCCGAGAGGAGGCGGCCGGTCGCCTGGAGGTCACCTTCTATCCTTTCAAAAAGGTGAGCTTTCCAAATGCACTGATGAATGCTAGCACACCGGCACATTTAGAGTGTGTCATAACCTTAAATTTCTATTTATGGTGTGTGATCAGTTCCATCAGTAACTGCGTATTACATTCTAGAACCACACTAACAGTTCTAGAGCTGTATGTTTCGCAGATCTCTTAGCAATCCTCGTCATAACTTTACATCATTCTTTTCTCCCTTTCTTAGGTTCCTTACCTGCCTTTCACAGAAGCCTTCAGCAGGGCAGAAGCAGAGGGGAAACTGGTACACTCCATCCTCCTCTGGGGCGCCCTGGATGATCAGTCCTGCTGAGGTCAGAACCATAGCATCTCAACACACTGCAAAATATGACAGCTCAGCAAGTGTCCATATCCTGCATGGAGGAAATAGATCTTCGCTGTCGGAACAACTTCAAACTGAGAACTTCAGTCTCAGTTTTTCTTCATTTTAATTTTTCACACAGTATGAAAAAGGCAGTTGTGACAAAATGTCATGATGAACGGACCAGCAGAAATGACCCAGAACTGATTATAATAAAAAAAAAAATTATAATTTTTGTTTCTCTTGTAAAGTCACCATTTTAGAGATGCAAAGTTTTGTTCCGAAAAGGACTATATCTAATTATAATTTGAGATTAATAGTCAAGTAGGGCACTTTAAAAGTGAGCTTATTCAGCCAGTTTAAGAATACCTTACCCAATTGTTGGATTGCTGGACAGCTAAGTATTCAGTTTCTACATTTTTGGTGATATTTAAGCAGTAGAACACTCAAGGTTGTGTGTTATCACGAAATAACGTCATGGCTGTGATTGGGTCGCCGTAGATCATCACAGCCGTGATGTTATTTCGTAATAACACACAACCTCGGGTTTTCATCGCTTTTATACAACAGTTAAATAAATAAAGTAAGAAATTAATAAATTAGGCCGTGAATGCGGCATTAAATATGTTTTAATGTTAGCAGTTCCTTCCGCCAAATTATAGTTCCTTAACAAGCAGCTTGTTGCTACGTCAGAGTAACGAACTCCGCTCACTCACTGCACAGCCGGCAGTTCGTTCTTCAGCACCACACAGAACAACTGACAGTTTTGGAATTTAGTGTAGTCTCATCTTCAGAGTCTGACCAAATCGGCTGTCGGTCAAATGTGATCTGAAAAGTATCCATTTTCTGTTTGTGGCAAAGTAAGAAGTAAAAACGTTCAAATGGCTTCAGCGTCTCCCACAGCTGTCAAAGTTGTTGTTCAGCAACCTGTGCTGTTATGGCGAAATAACAGCACAGCTAGAACGCCTCTATATATTGCCTCCATATAACGATAATTTTGCAGTAACAACCTAAATATTATAACGTTTTCAACAGAATATTATTGGTAGCAGTTTAGGGCTTGACTGATTTGAAAATGTTGTGGTCGTTAACGATGCCAGACACCAGAATCTTAAATAATAAAAATATTGTAGCAGTGGGGGTATAGCAGTATAGTTCCTGGGACTGAATATCTTTGATATTTTTGCTGATATATGGTCATCGATATCGGCTGTTTTGGACATATCGGTCAGGTCACACAGCAAACATCTCGTGGAATACATTTTTCGGTTTTTATAGAACAATGAATATGAAACAGGCTGATAATACGGTAGAAAATTATTTTACAAACAAGATCTTAAACTAAGTACTCAAAAAATGATGGTTCTTTAGTAAAGAAAATGGTTCTATGCAGAACCATGAACACTCAAAGAACCATTTGCATGATGTAGGGTTCTTTGCATTGTGAAACGTTCTTCAGATTGATGGAGAATGTGCTGTGGATAGTTCAATATAGCACCAAAAAGTGTTCTTCTGTTGTTACGATGTCAAGCCTGTAAGAATAGAAGAACGCTTTTTGGTGGTATATAGAACGGTTTTCAAAAAGGTTTTATTTAGAACCATATAAAATATATTCTCCATCAATCTAAAGAACCCTATAATCATGCAAAGGGTTCTTTCGGTGTTCAAGGTTCTGCATAAAATCATATTTTCTTTACTAAAGAACCCTCGATGAACCATCATTTTTTAGTTGTTCATGCCAAAATGTGATTGTCCCAAAATCAACCTGACCAACACCTGATTCTGATTCCATAGAAATCACAGTTTCTCTGAAAACCTCAGTGCATACATTAACTTTCTGTTGAATGAACTTGCTATTAAAGAATGTTCATAATATTTACGCTTGACATTTTGTTATTGCTCAGTTGCATTATTTATAATTCATTTTTATTGTTCATTATTGTTCATTATAATTAACATCCTAAACCTAAATGTTTACCCTGATATTAATATGTGTCTGTTGTCCTTGTTGTCTATGTAGGTTCGGGGCGAACTCTCCGGGAGACAGTCCTGGAAAGTTCGCCCGTCCTAGCCTTGCTCAACCAGAGCTTCATCAGTAGCTGGTCTCTAGTTAAAGAGCTGGAGGACCTGCAGGTGAGGCGTCCACTGAGAATTTTTATGTAGTTGGAAGTCTGTCAAAGGCTATCAAATAAGAAAAGGAATCAGAAGTTTTGTCGTACAGTTTTTTTATTTAATACAACTTAATGGAAGTCTATATTCAAACTATCACAAAGTTTAAATGTTCTTTTGGTTCTTTTCCTGGAAAGAACACCCTGCAGATTGTTGTAAATCACAGCTGATCCGTGAAGGAGCTCTGCATGAGCATCCAAATGTTACAGACATGTATGTTATATGCTGTCTGGAGTGATGGAGCTTCATCCAGTACCTTTGTGATGAGTTGGAGTGATCCAGAGCTGATCATCCAACATCAGTACCTGACCTCACTAATGCTCTTGTGGCTGAATGCAACCGAATACTCACAGCAGAAGTTCCTACATCTAGTGCAAAGTCTTCCCAGAAGAGTAGAGGCTGTTACTGAAGAAAAGGTGGAACAAAGTCACTAATAGCCTTGATTTCAGAAGAGACGTTGGTCAAGCAGATGTCTACAAACTTTTTGACATACGGTGTATATTAGATTAAGGTTGTAACTAAATTCTGCAGACGTGTCGGCTGAACAGCTGTTTTAGAGGCTCCTGAATAACCCAGATTGCTGTAGAATTCTCCAAGCCTGTATTAGTCCAGCAGCAGTTTGTCATCAGTGTCTAGTCTAAGTGTAGGTTAGGGTTATGGTGTCTGAATTGAAGTTGATAAACTAATGACATTTCTTGTCTCTGCAGGCTGATGAGCAGAATCTGGTATTGAGTCAAAAGGCACGTTTACACCTGGAGAAGTACAGCTTCCCAGTGGAAATGATGGTGGCATTGCCTAACGGCACAGTGGTAGGTTTGCTTTACTTTTGTCTGCGCTGTAGTGTAGCTTTAAGTATTTGTCCGAACCTGATGGGACTCGACTGCTCATATCTGGTTTGAATATTGTTTCTCAAATATGTGTTGAGCTCAGTTGGATTCAAATTTCTCTGACACACACACACACACACACACACACACACAGACACATGCACACACATATATATATATTCCATTGACTTACATTAAAAGTAAAGCAAGTTTTTTCCTTCTCCTGTAAAGTTACCATTTTGGAGATATAAAGTTTAGTTCTGACAACAGTGTACATGTATTTTTTTTTTTTTAATGTATCTGGTCTCTAATAACTAATATTTTTGTCTCTATATGGTAACTGGTGGTGTTCTGTCAGGTTTTATTCTGCCCTTTGCACGATGGGGTCGGGCTCAGACAGAAGAATTTCTGGCTGTATTCACATTTGGACCAATATTTCAGGCCTGATTAAAGCTCTATTGTACTGGAGCCTGAGATTTGGCACGCAGTTCAGCACTGGGAGCCCTCAACACTGCATTGTTCAGTATTACACGCTTTAAATCATATAGGACTTAATTATCCAAAGAAATTCTCAACTGTGCTCTGCTCTGCTCAGTGAGAATTTGGGTCAGCCAAGTATAAACCAGAATGATTCAAGACACAAATGCCTGGCATAACCGAGTCATCGCTCAGTGGTTTGGCCAATCAGTTGTCAGAGAGATAACATGGGTCCTCTGGGAATTTGATCAACTTTGTTCGGCAAGATTTTATAGGTTCAGTTTACATCAGTTCCCTGCACCCAAAGGACCAACCTTGACTGCTTAGTTCTACAAAAGAGAGAGCTCAGCAGGTTGTGAGCTGCTGATCCAAGACCTGCCATAATTATATACAAACGTTTTGTATTATTCATGAGTCTGAAAGCTGTGAAATAGAGTGCGTGAAAGGTTTATTGATGTTTGAATCAGTAGATGATCTTCTCAAAAATGTGTGTAAATACAGGATTTGTAGCACTGGAATTCCAAAATGGGCTTATTGCCCACAGTACTGGGCATGTGAAGTATCCATAGTTGAGAGTTGGTTCTGGAATTCTGGAATTCCGTCTGAATTGACATCAAAGTCACAAATCCAATCAATTTAGGTTTTTTTCCCACTGCGCTTGAGTACAGTCAGAAGGTTAAACACTCTGGCTAATTGCAGGTTGTGTTGATTTTTCTAAGTGAAGGTAAGTCCTCTACAGAGAACAAAATAAACCTGGAATTTTTGTGTAAATTTTAGAGCACAGGTTCTGTGTGTTTGCTGATAAATAAAATATAGAAAAAAATAAAATATAGAAAGCGCCATAACTTCTGCAAAAAGACAGGTTAGGTTTTCTTTTTTTTCACATCCTGTGAAATGTGCAGATGTGTGTTCTCTCTAGTGCAGGGGCGTCAAACTCAACCACAAAAAGAGCCATATTAAAAAATCTCAGCAAATCTGTGGGCCAGATGTGTTTTTATTATATTTTTACTTTATTTTTACTTTAACATTTGTTTATTTAAAATATGCCAAAACCGCAACAGCAAAATAGGCACTGAATTCTTACTCAAAAATAATTCTAAAGAAAAATAAATAGTTTTAGGTAGTTTTACAGACTTGGGGGTAGCGTCCCTCGGCGAGCGCCTGGTGGCCGGGCAGCCCACGTAACCCGGCCGGGCTCAGCCCCGAAGAGGCAACGTGGGGGGACCATGTGGGCCCACCACCCGCAAGGTCCAGCATGGGGGAGTGGTGCAGTGCCGTACAGGCAGTGGGAGATTGCAGGGGGGCCCTTGGTGGCCTAGGCCCCTGCGGCAGAAACTGGCTCTTGGTACGTGGAACGTAACCTCACTGGGGGGGAAGGAGCCGGAGCTTGTGCGGGAAGTTGAGAGGTACCAACTAGATATAGTTGGGCTCACCTCCACCCACAGTATCGGCTCTGGAACCAAACTCCTGGATAGGGGTTGGTCCCTCTCCTACTCCGGGGTTGCACAAGGTGAGAGGCGCCGGGCGGGTGTGGGGATACTCACGAGTCCCCGGCTGGCGGCAGTACAGTTGGAGTTTGTCCCGGTGGACGAGAGGGTCGCCTCAATGCGTATTAAAATCGCAGAGAGGAAAACTCTGACTGTTGTGTGTGCTTATGCACCAAACAACAGGGTCGGAGTATTCGGCCTTCTTGGAGCAAGTGGGCGGGGTTCTGGAAAGGGTCCCAACTACAGACTCCATAGTCTTACTGGGAGACTTCAATGCTCATGTTGGCAATGACTGGGAGACCTGGAGAGGCGTGATTGGGAAGAACGGCCTGCCCGATCTAAACCCGAATGGTGAATTGTTATTGGACTTCTGTGCCAGGCATGGATTGTCCATAACGAACACCAAGTTCGAACACAAGGATGTTCATAAGTGTACATGGTACCAGAGCTCCTTGGGTCAAAGGTCAATGATCGACTTTGTTGTCGTTTCATCTGACTTGGGACCATATGTTCTGGACACTCGGGTGAAGAGAGGTGCTGAGCTGTCAACTGATCACCATCTGGTGGTGAGTTGGATCAGATGGCAGGGAAGACTGAGGGTTAGACCCGGTAGGCCCAAGCGAATAGTGAGGGTGTGCTGGGAACGACTGTCGGAGGCCCCTGTTCGGAATGATTTTAACTCCCACCTCCGGGAGAGCTTTTCTCATGTCCCGGAGGAGGTAGGGGACATAGAGTCTGAATGGACCCTGTTCAAAACCTTGTGGAAGCTGCCAGGCGCAGCTGTGGCCAAAAGCTTGTCGGTGCCTGTCATGGCGGTAACCCAAGAACCCCCTGGTGGACACCGGTGGTGAGGGAGGCCGTCAAGCTGAAGAAAGAGGCCTTTAGGGACTGGATGGCCCGAAGGACTCCCGTTTCAGCAGATGGGTACCGACATGCAAAAAAGGTGGCAGCTGCAACGGTGGCAGAAGCAAAATCCAGGGCGTGGGAGGAGTTTGGGGAGGCCATGGAAAAAGACTTTCGGTCGGCCTTGAGGAAGTTCTGGACAACTGTCCCGCGACTCAGGAGTGGTCGGGGTGACTGCGCCCAGGCTGTATTCAGCAGGGGTGGAGAAACTCTGACTTCAAATGAGGATATTGTCGGTCGGTGGAAAGAGCACTTTGAGGAACTCCTTAATCCGGGTGACATGCCTCCCTCACGGGAGTCAGGGCCAGAGGCCTCTGGCGTGTCAAGCTCCATTTCCCTGGTGGAGGTCACTGAGGTAGTTGGCAAGCTCTTCAGTGGCAAGGCACCGGGGGTGGATGAGATTCGTCCGGAGATGCTTAAGGCTCTGGATATTGTGGGGCTGTCGTGGCTGACACGCCTCTGCAATAGTGCATGGACCTCGGGAACAGTACTCTTGGACTGGCAGACCGGGGTGGTGGTCCCTATTTTCAAGAAAGGGGACCGGAGGGTGTGTGCCAACTATCGGGGTATCACACTGCTCAGCCTCCCTGGGAAAGTCTATGCCAAGGTGCTGGAAAGGAGACTTCGGCCGATAGTTGAACCTCAGATTGAGGAGGAACAATGCGGATTCCGTCCTGGCCGTGGAACAATGGACCAGCTTTTCACCCTCTCACGGATTGTTGAGGGGGCATGGGAGTTTGCCAACCCAGTCTACATGTGTTTTGTGGATTTGGAGAAGGCTTACGACCGTGTTCCCCGAGATATCTTGTGGGAGGTCCTCCGGGAGTATGGGGTCTACATCCCGACCCTCACCTATGGTCATGAGCTGTGGGTAATGACCGAAAGAATGAGATCGCGAATACAAGCGGCAGTAATGAGCTTTCTTCGCAGGGTGGCGGGCTACACTCTATTTGATAGGGTGAGGAGCTCGGCCATCCGGGAGGAGCTCGGAGTAGAGCCGCTACTCCTCCGCATTGAGAGGAGCCAGCTGAGGTGGTTCGGGCATCTGATCCGGATGCCCCCGGGACGCCTCCCGGTGGGGGTGTACCAGGCACGGCCTACCGGAATAAGACCCCGGGGTCGTCCTAGGACCCGCTGGAGGGATTATATCTCCAAGTTGGCCTGGGAGCGGCTTGGGGTCCCCGGGAATGAGCTGGAGGAAGTTGCGGGGGACAGGGTCACCTGGGATTCTCTGCTCTCCCAACTGCTACCGCGACCCTATCTGGACTAAGCGGTTAACGATGATGATGATGAGTTTTACAGACAAAAAAAAAGTTTTTTTTTATTTTATTTATTTATTTATTTGTTTAAATAACTGCCTATTTGCTTGAAGTAGACACCAGTCATCTTTTCTTTTTGTGTAACCACTGGCCCAGAGATTGTTGTTGGGGTTCAGAATGCACAAGATGTTGCAGTGCATGCTGGGGACTGTAGCGCATCGCAGGGTGACACAGGCTAGTATCAATAGAGAATTAAAACCATTTTGCCGGCCGAATAGGACTGCGTCACAGGCCTGACTTGGCCCACAGGGCTTTGTGTTTGGATGTATTAACTTATTTTCAATTAGAAAACAGACAAAACATCATCCCACACTTCACAGTAATGGCTGCAAGGAAACAGCATTTTAATAGCTTCTGTTCTCTAAACATGAACAGCAGATGAGCTGTTTTGTAATTACTACACAAAAAAAATGTTTTTTTTTTTTATTTATTCATTTTTTCCTTTTTTACAATGCATGTTGGTCATGCGAGTGATGTCCTTGGTGTCTAATACCAGGGTGCAAAAAACATGGAATTGAGTGATGAGGCTTGTACTATGAGCGTAGCCCCAGCCTCTCTTTTATTTTTCAGGTCCACCACATCAACGCTAACAACTTCCTGGACCAGACGTCCATGAAACCAGAGGAGAGTCCGTCCTTCAGTTTCTCGGGCGGGTTTGAGGACCCCTCCACCTCCACTTACATCCGCTTCCTACAGGAGGGACTGGACAAGGCCAAACCTTACCTGCAGTCATAAAGAACTGGCCCTCTGTGAGAGAGAGAGAGTGTGTGTGTGTGTGTGTGTGTGTGTGTGTGTGTGTGTGAGACCGAACACAGTGGGCTCACTCAGTCTCTCTAGTAGAGATCACCTTATGCTGGACTGAATTCTGGAACATTCTCTCGTGGTATAGAAAGCAGCTGCTGACTCCAGATTCTTCTACCTGTCCACATTCCACATTTCTAGTAAAACACAGTAATGGAACACTTTTTTAGTACCTTAGGGTTAGTGCCCTATTTAAGGGAAATTCCACCATTTTTCAAATTTCTGTATAATTCAGTGGTTGAGATGTAAAGTCATTCAGAGTGGGTTGATGTGAAATGGGGCTCTGTGGAGGAACTTACCAGCTGAGATTTCTCTACAGTGGTGGTGATGAGAACCAGGGGTCACAATGTCTACAACACACACATAGCCAGTTTATTTACTATCCAAAACCACCAGTGAACCTACATGTTTTGAGTTTCTATGCTTAAAAAATAAGTTTTCTTTGGGCACTATTTTGCCTCACAGCACCCTGCATGTACCCCTCCATCCTTCCTGAAACTTTAAAGAGCAAAGCCTTCTCAAAACTGTCAGGCTTTTAGAGGCATTAAACTCTTCAGCTGTCTGGTTCCTATCACCACCACTGTGAACAATTCTGACTTTAGTTTCTCTGGAATGGAGCATTTCACATCAATCCACTCTGAATGATTAAGTTTGAAATTTGTAACAATTGAACAATGGAAAAAAACAAAGGAATTCTCCTTTAAGTCTCTGAATGCAGTCTTTGACGTTTTATACTGGACAAAAGAAGCTTATCAGTGTAGTGCTCTGTAGTATTTGCCAACACTGTAGTTCCGAACATGCTGGAGGACTTATTTATAGAGATAAAACCTCTTTACCTTTACAGACGCGTTTAGCAAGACATGTTTTTCTGCTTTAGTTCAGACTTTTTCCACTGCAGATCTTAATTTGTGTCTATGATTTTGGTTATTTGTTGCTGTTACTGTGGTGCGTTTCCGCAAGATGCACAGAATGAAGGATGTGTGTTGCTCAGGTTGGTTGCGGTAGTGGTTTCAATAGTGTTTGTGTTTCTCAGTGCAGAAGAGCCGCAGGGCCTGTGGTTTCCTGGACAGAGCAGTTTGTGACGGCCTAGTCGGAAAGCTCACCGGGGTGGGACCAGGCCTGATGTCATTGTTCCAGTCCAGGGAAGCACCGCCCTTTCTCTCTCTCTCTCTGGAGACGACACAAACACCCAGAGGCAGGGATGGGATAACCCCCGTACTGTAGAGAAAATTAGGCCTGTCAAAATGATTTCTTATTCGCCTGATCACAATTATTCAAGCTGACCGCAGTTATTTATCATGCTTTAGGGCTGTCAAGCGATTGGATTCACGATTAACATGATTATTCTTTTGTGCAGTTAATTGCGATTAGTTGCATTTGTCTTCTTTGCAGTTTATCAAATTTCACACTAAATAAACTTTTTCCCCCATTTAAAAAGCAGCGCATTTTGTTATCTCTATATTAGAGGACAAAATAAGCTGCATCAGAATGTATTTATTATTCTTAATAATTCAATAACAGGTTCGCTCGTGTGAACACATGAACATTAGTTCCTAACGCAGTTTTTCATTTTCATCGCTGCCACCCAGTGTGAGAGCGACAGCCCTGCAATCGCAGAGCAAAGTAAAGCACGCAAGCAGCTGGGCTTCAGGGTGGAACAAGAAAAATTCAGTAACAGTGTAAAAAGTTAGCGCTGTCACTACTTAGTGTTAAATTATTAATATGCTAACTTCAGAAATAACTGATATGTTTAAGTCGCAACTAACAAAAAGTCAATGTAGGTCTCTGGGTTCATTCATTGGTTTCATTGGCAAATTCATGTAAATTAAAAAAAAAAGCAGAGAACGCATTTATAGCACCTCATAATGTACACATCTACGCATAATGTCATAAAGGTAAAGTTATAAAAACCCATAATGTAACAGCTGATCGTGTAATAAAATCCTCATCTAATAACTACATTTTTTGCAGAAGTATTACATTATATGCTGTTTAATCCATTATACATTCATTATACAGCAACATTTTTTAAGAATAATGTAACGTCAGCACATAATGTAATGTTTTAATGTTTTTTTTTAGAATGTGAGTTAAAACGATCAGATGCTTAAAATGACAATCTAATTGTATAATTTTCATCTTAATAAAGGTAAAAACTTGTGAAAATTATTACAAGAGGTGACTTAGTGTTACATTACACACTGAAACTACATTACTCTAAAACCTTGCTACTTCATTTACAATGTATTAAAAACAATGTAATGCTTTACTCCATTATGGGCAAAAATGTAATTATATTATTGGATGAGGGTTTTATTACATTATCAGCAATTATTACATTGTTACATGTGTGTTATTACTTTGTGTAGTTGTGGCAGGTTTTTTTCGAGATGCGCCATGGGTCTTACAAAAACAGTAGTTCTGATTTTACGAATTGGTGCTATAACACCTTTAGAGGGCAGGTGTAATGTTTATTTGAGCTTGAGCTACGTCTGTCGTCAGCTGGGAGCTACTGAGCTTTGCCAGCATCGTAGCAAGATGGCTAGTCAATTCAGCCACTTTAGGCTTGCACTGTAATATAATATTTCCATACAATGAACAAGAAAGATATTGTATTAATCGCAATTATTAATAGGGCAATTAATCATCAGCTAAAATTTCATTGTGACGAGCCTTCGTAATGAATCGTCAGACTTTTTAGTGAACCTTTCATATTTCTTTAGAACATGGGGAGACTAGTGATAGGCTGGTTCACTGACCTGGGCTTGATGCTGCGATTTATCATTACAACCAGTAACCATCCCATCCCTACACAGAATAACACATGCAGCGTCACATCACGCTAGAAGAGCACACACAGTTCTGTCAGACTGCTACAAGACCACTGTATCGCTTTGGATCATAGCCACAGTTAGAATTATGTATGGAAGGTGTCATTGTATAAAGCAGTTTAATGTAGGTTTTTCTTGTGGTCAGTCGGCTGAGGGCAATAGAAAAGTTAGATTTGGGGTCGTGGCCTATTGCTGCTATATACTTTATTAGCTATTGGAATGAATTAGTCTCAGTGCACATTTACAAAGAGTGCAAAAACTCTGCTGAGTCTGGTGTAAAATCTGTGCATATTCTAAAGATATTGAGTCTTTGTAAGATACATACCGTTGCTGTCCAAAGAAAACAAGTATAAGAGATTTTATTCTAAGCAATTTTGGAGTATTTATATTGGTCCACTCATCATGAAATTTTGACACAATGTAAAGGACAGCTGCTAAGATCAAATGATGCAAAAAACGTAAAAGTCGCAAAAAATGGAGATACATGTTTTTCATTGGACAGCGATGATATATTTGACTTGCAATCAGACTCAAAATGATGATGAAGGCCAAAGGAAGCACAAGTATACATAAAGAGTTGACCCAACAGACAATATGTATGCAACTCAACTGGCTTTCAATGTATTGCTAACATACTGTGGTAAGAGCTATGCTTTTTGGTTTGTCCATATTCAAGTCATCTTTTGAGTTCATAAGTAACCTGTGTGAATGTATGTGCTGTTTGTACTTTGTTGGACTTGTGCCAAAAATAAAAAGGCCTTTGTTTTTTTTTTTTTAAGAAAAAATACATCTGTCCATTTTCTAATAAGTAGGATAAAACAGAACATCAACACCGATTTTAGTCAAACATCACAAAAGATCATGATTTAACTTGATATTCACATTTATTTGACTATATATTACATAGTTGAATCTGTGAATTGCATGTATGTATGGTGCATAAACAGATGAGTTTGTGCATGAGTAACTCACTGAACACCACTGAGAAAGATACTATACACAAAAAAAAAAATCAAGGTTTTAGATGCAAAGCACCTCATGGACCTGGCTTGTAACTCACTCACTCACATTTAGCAGGCTGAATACTGTCCACAAGGGGGCACTGTAAGCACCGAAGCAGCTTTTGGTGCTTCACAACGGGGTGTTCAGACAAGGCCTATTTAAACACCAAGCACACCGTATCTCATTCTAAAACGAAGCAGGACACATCTGGGTGTTCGAAAACAGCCAAAGCTAGCCTTTCCTCTGTTGGTGACTACAGAGAAGGTGTCCTCATTACAGATTGGTCAGCTGTGATGGCGTATGGTGCTTTTCCGTGGAAAAGTTGACTGTTTTTCAACTTGAATGGAAACTGAGAAGTGTGTTGTGCAGGATAAACCAGTGATTTTTAGTTGCAGTGTGCGTTGTTCCATAGTTGACAACGAAAAGAAGCACACTTGAGTCATTTGAACGCATACTAAAAGTGCTACATCACGTCAATGACACCGGCCCTTATTCATCAGAGTGCGTACAGTCAAATCTGAGCGCACATATTTCACCAACAGTTTTGTAGAGTAACTAGGCAAAAATTATCAGTACCATCTACAACAACAATAAGAGTAAGAACAGAAAATAATACTAATAATTTGCACATGTTGATCTGGTACAAATCTTTTTTTTTTTTTTTTACATGCACACTGGTGTAAACAAATGCTGCAACTATTCCATTTCTCAACAGAAGACATATTACGCTGTGATTTTGTTTTGTTCATTTGACATTCTATTCTTTCCAGTGGTCATAATTTTAACACTATAAAGTTTGGTCAGTAGGGGGAGCAGTGCTCAATCACAGCCATTGGCTCACAAACTACTGAATGCTGTCGTTTTATTGGCTCCCTACTTAAACCATTTGCATGAATTAGGGCGTGCTTCATGTACATGATATGTAAATGAGGTGCTGGTAGGCTGGCGCTTGATTTCACGCACTGAAGCAGATTCATCATTTGCGCTCAAAGCTTGGCTCGTTTCCACGTCATAGGAACGTTTCGTGAATCAGACATAGATGAGTTCATACATCATTAAAGGCAGTCGAATCTGCTCTCTTTACGCAACTTTGGTGAATAAAGGCCAATGCGTGTCTTTGTTTCTCTATTCAGTACAGCTTGCTGTAGGCTTGTACCATCCCTTCTCATAAATATGACTTGCTGTCATTACTGTATAGAGAAATGCATTCTAGAGAAACTTTCAGAGCTAAAATTGTTCATAGAGGTGGTGATAGACATCCCAAGAGTTTAATACGTCTAAAAGCTCACTCTAAGTAGGTTATTACATGAAATGTTAAGAGATATGTTGACTGATGCCCAAAACATTGTTTCACAACAGTTCTGAGATTTTGGTCTAAATATTTTTTGTATATCTATTCATGGTGGAGTGGTACATGCAGGGTGTTGTAAGCCAAAATCATCCCCAAAGAAAAGATATTTTTTCTGATTTACTACTATTTTCCCATTATTAACCTTACATATAAAACTCATGAGACACATGTAGGTTCTATAGTCATTCTGGATAGTAAATAAAATGGCTATATTTGTGTTGCAGATGATGTGACCCCTGGTTCCTATCACCACCACTGTAAAGAAATCCGAGTCATTTTCTCTACAATGAATCATTTCACGTCAAACATCTCCGAATAAATGTTTACATTTCATTTGATAAGTTTTGCATAAATTTTGAAAAAAAACTTTGGATTCCCCTTTAAATCATTCACCTGCGGTCACTCATTACAGGTCGTTGGCACTAAAGATGTAAGTGTTGACGTTTTAATGCACAAGCTCATCTACAGTGGACCAGTCTGCCATTGTGAGTAAGCCAGTGGTGCACAATCTATAAAGATTCAATGTGAGTTAAAGTCGTTCCTCCAGTCAAAGCTGACCGACAAGTGCATTAGAGGCAAGAAGCCATTCACATTATCGTATTTTTGTAAAGTTTCAAGCATGACACTGACTAGTTTCTGCATAAACTTCAGTACTTTCCAAAGGAAAAAAGGTTCTGAATAACATCTTGTTCTGTACAGAGGCAACTGTAACAAAACACTGAAGCAGCATTCATCCTGAGCAGGTGTAGAGCTGAGAGAAGGATGATGTTTACAGCTTAGTTTAAAACTAAATAGATCTACATCATTTCCCCCTTCCAAATGTACTCAGCCAAAACAGGACTGGTGTCTGAAGTTTGCTTCTTCAGTTTTACAGCTACGAGGCTAATGTGTGAAACAAGTAAAGGAAGCTTACTGCCCACAGGGATGAGCCACAGAATGCGCAGTGAGGAGAGCCGCCACTCAGTCAACACAGAACAGCACAACACATTTTAACACTGCTGTTATATTTTGAAGTGCATTTAAACTCCAGATACAGGACTTTATATCAGCGCCTAATATACGTTTATGACATTAGTGAGCACGCTGCTTCGCTCATCCAATGAGCTGCTCCGCCCCACCCCCCTCCCAATCAGCTGTCAGTAGCTGTAATTCCAACCAATCAGTGCACAGTAACAGTACTGTTAACCAATCAGCACTTAGTGGCAGTAATGCTAACCACTCAGCACTCAGTAACTGTAATGCCAACTAATCAGCACTCAGTAGCAGTAAGGCCAACCAACCCGCACTGATCAGCTGTAATGCCAACCACTCAGCACTCAGTAGCAGTAATGCTAACCAATCAGCACTTAGTAGCAGTAATGCCAACCAACCAGCACTTAGTAGCAGTAAGGCCAACCAACCAGCACTTAGTAGCAGTAAGGCCAACCAACCCGCACTGATCAGCTGTAATGCCAACCAATCAGCACTCAGTAGCAGTAATGCTAACCAATCAGCACTTAGTAGCTGTAAGGCCAACTAATTAACACTCAGTAGCAGTAATGCTAACCAATCAGCACTTAAAAGCAGTAATGCCAACTGATCAGCATTCAGTGTCAGTAATGCCAACCAACCAGCACTCATTAGCTGTAAAGCCAACTAATCAGCACTCACTAACAGGAACGGCAACCAATTAGCACTCAGTAGCTGTAATGCCAACTAATCAGCACTCAGTAGCAATAATGCTAACTAATCAGCACTTGGTAGCTGTAATGCCAACCAATCAGCACTCAGTAGCAGTAATGCTAACCAACCAGCACTCAGTAGCTGTAATGCCAACCAACTAGCACTCAGTACCATTCTCACTTAGTATTGATACTGTAATGTGAAGATCAGTTCTCAAAATGCAATGTCAGGATCAGAACTATCAATATTTCAGTATTTGCCCATCCTGATAGGATATCCATTCATAAACTACAGATACTCGAATATCAAAATTAGTCAGAATGTACATTCCTATTACCCCACCAATTAGCACTGTCCAAATTACATGACTAAAATTATCACACACTTGCCTCAGTACCGTGTGAACTACATTTAGACTACATTCAGTAACTATATTCAGACTTATTTGTGTAGCTTCTAACAGTGCTATCCATAATATCCACAATAAATAAATAAAATGAAATAAAATAAAGAAGCAAGCTTTAGACACCAAACATGTCCTGCCTGATGGACATTTGCGGTGAAGGGAAAACTGCAGATTTGATTTTAAGCATTAATGGCTGAAGACATAAAGGTGCTGAAGCACTGTCCATTTGAGCTATTCTGACAGTGAAACACTGGTTGTACTGATGGAACAAGAACCTCAACTTCTGATAGCAACAACAGCTGACTACCAAACAAAGTACTCAACTCCAGAGACCCAGTCAGACCATCACAGCTGAAGCTTCTATATAGAGAGCAAGAGCTCCACTGTGACTCTGCGGTACAATGGGATCACGCGTGCAGTCAGACTGATGGCGTTCTGTGCCCACACAGCTCAGTTTCTCCATTTAGGCACAAAGTCCGAGACTCCAAGATGTACGTGTGGTCACTTTTTTGGGTTAGTGGTGGCCTGTGTTCTTAATATGAAGCGTCTTCACCTTTTAGGATATATCCAGTATTGCAGCTATTCCACATTCGAGCCCACTCCATCACAGGTCATCTTATCTCTTAGAGACTGTTCAAACTAATGTCCACTCTACCATCAAATGAAGCCCTTTGTGCTGTGATGTTTTGGGAAATGGTCTGGGGGTCCTTGGGGTCACCAGAAGGTCCAGGCCTCAAGCTCCAACACTCTGAAGTCACTGGTCTCAGACAGACTGCAGTTGTTGAAGGTGTAGCAGGGGCTGCTCCTGCCCAGGTACAGCGTCTCGTCCAGCCACAGGCCAAAGTGACCACTGAGAAGAGAAACAAATCAGGAAGAAATCATGAGGCCTACAATGGAAACTAAGTCAGTAGACATTTGGCTGTAAAGAAATAGAAATCTGCCATAAAAATTCAAAATCAGTGCATATTTAGTTCATACCTTCCACCACCGATGGCAAAAGAATCCAGGTCTCCTTTGATGAAGAAAGAATTTTCACCAGTCCAACGGAAACTCTGGGAGAGAAACACCACCAGAAGAGAGAGGACAGAAATGAAAACCCCAAACATCGTTTTGAAAGAACAGCAAGGAGTAAACTTGAAGACATTTTCTTGAATTTGAAAAACGTCTTCCTATTTTTTAAGCATCTAGCAAAAATCAGGCTTCAAGTATTACTGCTTGTAGCTGAGTGATGTATGTTTATCCACTTTTATAGATAACAGTGTCTGTGTTTACATGCAAAGATTTTTGCCAATCCCATTGAATACATTCTGATTACAGATTAAGACTGAGGTGTTTATGCTCATTCTACTCAACAATCTGAAGGAAAATCTACTTTTACACGCTCACTACAAGTAATCCAATCCAAAATTACTCGCATGCGTAGAGAACCACTTAGTGTAGACGTTACCGTGACAACAAGCATCACGTAAGACCAGTCAGAGTGAGATGAGCAGCAGTGAGCAGTGCTTGTGTTTTTAATTACTTTAAAATGATGTCAGACTCAGGAAAACCTGCACATGTACTTATTAAAAAAGGCCGAGAGGAAGACGTCGTGTTCTGAGACACATAAGCTGGACGTCCGTCCCACCGCCTTTTAAAGATCAGAGCATAAACTTCGTCTCCTCTGCAGACCAGTTTCTGCTCCCGACATGTTAAACGTTATAAACTTTCACTGTGATGCGACGCACATGCAGAACATACTTAAACTTTCAGATTGGGAATGTAATCAGATACAGACATTTACACAGTTATTATTCTTCTATTTAACAGATTATTTACAGGATTACCCACCTCGTTCAATCAGATAGAAATTGTATTCTGAATGGCCTCAATCAGACTAGTCTATTCCGATTGAGGTGTATACATGGAGGTACCCTATTCCAAATGAGCTATTAGTCGGATTATTAACAGATTATTAGGCTGCATGTAAACGTGGCTAGTGTGTAACACATGCAAATATATCACTGACACAGTTTGAGGCAATTATTTTTTACTCTTTGGCTTTGTAGCAAAACTACAAGATTGAGCCAAACAGAACTTGACTGATTGACTACATTTGAGGTAAGAGGAGAACTGTGTACATTTTTGTTGAATTATTAGTGTCATGTGTCAAGGCTGTAATACTTGCCGTAAAATACCACTTGGTGTAGCTTAGTGTAGTGGCATTGGTCAGTGACTGACCGTTCAGTTCTCCTTGGTAGGACTAATTATGTTCTCTTTTTACGTCTTCATCCATGATACGTTCATAAAAGCATATTATTCATTCCAATAACAAAATTTATCATGATAATCACAAAATATAATCATATTGCCTGCCTCTAGGTGTGTTCATGCCTTTACCTTAAAGCGAGGGTGCAGCAGAAAGAGGAAAGTCTCTCCTGTACCATAAAACGTGTCGCTTGGCCGCAGCGAGTGAGAAAGGAAACTGCCAAATACCTGGGAGAGATCAACAGAAACAATCTCACATGCAGGAGGACTACCAATAAATAAATGCTAGTAGACAAGCAGATTAGAATGAATAAAAAACAAAGACTTTGCAATTTTTAATCTCCTGAATGCTAAGATACAATAACTTTTAAGCCCAGATTTATCTCAGGTGCAACGATTTAACTCATCTGAACTTCTCTGAGACAATGGAGGGAAGAGTCTCATCTAATACACTGAAAATAAAGGCCTAATGTGCTCCAAGATGGGATGTAAATATCAGACCTAATGTGAGTTTGGAATTGCATATCTGATCTGACTTATCTGTCCGAGGAGGAAAGTGTCTGACCTGCTGGTTGTCGTCTCTGATGAGCAGAAGGACGGGCGAGTCTGAAACGCTCAGTTTCCTGTACAGGGTTTTGAGGCTGGCGCCATGTTTGCTAGTGCTGTAGGCCAGCTTCCACGAGTGACCAACCGTACGCGGAGGCAACTCACTTGAGAGCTGTGGAGGGAATAAAACAGAGTTGCTTAAGAAACAATTATTTCAGTAATTGTAATCCTTTAAGTAATAATCAGAATTTGATATCTAAACAGTGAGTTATCTGTCTATAAGTCTATAATACACTTATCAAGACTTTTAAAGTGGAATTCCACCAATTTTTCTAAATTTCTTACATTAGATCTGAAATGTCCCAGAGAAACTTTCAGAGCCAGAATTGTTCACAGTGGTGGTGATAAGAACCAGAAGTCCGAAGTGTTTAACGCTGATTTATACAAAAGGGAAACTCCTATTGTTTAATTTGGGAAGCTTAGTTGTAACTTGGTGTTATAACTAACCCCGTCGTTTGGGGGCTTCAGACAGGCTAGCTCTCACTGTGAGTTGGTTACATGACATCAAGAAGGTGATTCAAGTAACAATAAATGTGATTTCTGTTATTTATACACAGTATTCAAAAACACTGTGGAAAAAAATGTTACTTTTATGGTAAAATAGTCTTCATAAAGAATACCAAAATTGTCTGACTGCTGTGAAAATTTGCAGATGACGGTGCTATGGGAATACAAGATGACCAAAAAGTTAATTAGTTAATTACATAAGGGTCTGTGTTATTTTATCCTGTGCTAGGCTGTGCCCCTACTTTGCTTGTTGTCTATGTATGTATGCATTGCTTGTATTCTAAAAAAAATGTGTGCATTGTCTCACCTCTCGGACATGCTGTGCGTTCAGTATGAGGCTTTGCTTTAGAATGTCACTCAGTCCTTCTGGTTCTTTATCTAAAGAGAGCGAGCCCCTCCCCCTGCTGTCCTCCACACACACCATCTAAACACACAGACACAAGAGTGGGTTAAAAGAAGAGGTCAGAAACAAAAAGCTAAGCTTTGGTAAAAAAGTGTCCACCAACTGTCAACTGTGTATTAACCACAAACCTTCAATGTTCCAGCAGTCACCAATAACACATCCTTGTGCGCACACAGAAGTGGGCGATATGTTAAAATGTAACATCACAATACTTCAGGATGTAATTTGCGATTTAATAAGGTAGAACAGACAAAACAGTGCTGCATTTAACAAATACTATAAAAACCTTACTGGTATTCAACATTTCACACACTGTGCTGCACTAAATCCAATTAAACAGGACTAATTTTGCTGTCTTCTTAATCAAATCAGTTGGGAAGTGGTTTTTAAGTATTGACGATATACATAATATGCTCAGAAAAGCATACTGTGACATATGTTGATGTAATTTATCACAATAATGATATGGTCATACTGCTCAGCTTTACATGGTGAGAAACTGTGTTGATCATCAGCTCTTATGTTTCCTTTGAAAGCGCACCCCTCCCAAACAAACCAGACACACCTGCATCCCTCTATATTTACACAACTCTCAAGTGACCACTTCTCCATGCCTCATTTGATACATTCAGTTCACTCAATCCGTCACTGACAACTACAGTTGTATGCAAAAGTTTGAATAGTCCAGGTCAAATGAGAAGTTTTTGTGGATTTTCTAAGTAAAAAATAAGTTAACACATCTACAGAGAACATATTGCTGCAGGTTTAAGTGCACAATCTCTATTTATTTGTTTATTTTAACATATTTAAAAAACACACAACAACTATGCCATAACTTTAGCACAGGCCAAATTTTATGTTTTATTATTTTCCCAATATGTTACAACTGTGTATTAAACTGTGCAGAAGTGTGTTCTCTGCAGAGAATTCACTTATTTTCAATCAAAACCAATCAATAAGAACACCTCATCTGTCCAGGGGTGCCCAAACTTTTGCATATGACAGTGCCCAAGTGAGAGACATTGCTATTAAGCAGCTTAGGGTTTATGATGAATCAACAAAGCTATTTTTTTTTTTTTTTTACAAATAACAGTATGGGACAGAGTGATGGATGAATTGTTTTTACACCTAAATCATTAATTCAAAGATAAGAAATTACAAATATCATAATTGCAATTTTTATTATGGCTTTCATTATTAACAACACTCTCTTAACAGGTTTTAAAATACCCCAAATGTCATCATCCCTAAACCTTAACACTCATTAAAAATTCAAAGACTTATGAATATGCATGATTATATTATTATAATTGTAAACGCCTCTGTGCCTCCTGGTTTCCAAACCCCGCCCCTTCCCTTCACTTCTCTAAGCAGAGATACACAGGGGCACAGCACAAATATTCAAACAATCATCTATTTTAAAATACAGAGATTCCCATTACATAAAATACAGAGATTTCTCAAATCATTACCTATTACATGTTAAACATGGAGTTGGACAACTAATGCCTCATATACGGCTGGGCAATATGACGATATTAATCGTTATTGTGATAAATTACATCAAAACATGCTTTTCCAAGCATATCAAGGATATTGCCAATACTTAAAACACTAAAAAACATGTTTGATTACAATGAGAGCATAAGTAGCCTTGTGGATGTAGTGCAGCATAGTATGTGAAATATTGAATACAAATCACTGGATTCATAGTTTGATAGTATTTATAAATGTGGTACTACTTTGTCTGTTCCAACTTATGCCAGACAAAATAAATATTGTGACATACTGTGTAATATATAATTCAGAATTTCTTGAATTATTGTGATATTCAAGTTTTTGCCATATCGCCCAGCTCTAACCTCATGGTGAAAAGCAAAGTGGAGCCGTGCGCATAAAAGCACAACAACTGGCAGTCTGGCACACTATGCTCAGCATTCAAACCTCAAGCCAGAAAAGGTGTATATGCTGGTCTTCTCACCCAAAAAAAACCAAAAATGCCAGAAAATAATCTAAGTCACAATATTGCAGTACTGAAAAAAAATCGCCATTACATATTTTGCATTAAACGTTCAACCCAATCATAAAGCGTCAGAAACCACATTTCTTTCTCCCTCTCTCTTTCTCTCTCTCACCTCCCATTCGTCCCCAGCGCGTCCATCCCTTGGAGACTCCTCTTCTTCCTCTTCTCCCCTCTCTCCTTCATCAACAAGCACAAAGTCATCTTCGTCTCTCTCCACCTCCTCATCCTCGCCTCCCTCCAGGATGCACAGGTCCGGCCTGTGCTGGGTCAGGTAAGCGTAGAGCTCGTCTGAACTGCACAGGTCAGCACACATGGAGGGAGAAACAGAGAGAGAACTTCAAAAAAAAAAACCACTGAAAGCACAGAGTGCACTGGAATTATGTAAATTAAAACCCACTCTGCAATACTGGATTATTCTTGCCAAGGCGGATGTTTGAAATGGAGTGAACTCCGTTATCAAGCACAGTTTAATGCTCAAACACAACTACGGAACTGAATAATTAATAGACTGATTGTTGAGACTACTTTGCCTTACAACGGCCTGCATGTATTTCTGTACCATTTGTATCTTTTAAAAATGTCTCAGGCATCAGGCAGCATATTCATATATATTTAATATAATAACTTTCTGTGATGTAGCTTTTAGATGCATTAAACTCTTCAGACGTCTGGTTCCTATCACCACCGCTGTGAACTATACTGACTTGTTAAGTTTCTCTACAGCAGAGCATTTCACACCAAACCACTCTGAATGACTTTGTTTACATCTTCAGGTTTGAGATATACAGAGATTTTGGAAAAAAAATCTACGTAATGCAGCCAGATTTTGTTTCTACCTATCCATACATCATTTTGATACAATGTAACTGGCAGGTGAAGAGAACAAAATCGGAGATAAAAGATTTTGATCTTATAGCAATGATTTTCTTATCTACAGTAGGGCTTGTTACCCATTTATTTTGTGAAGACAGTAAAAGTGGGTGTGGTTATTTAAAGATACAGATATCTGAAGTAATTGTAGTATTCATTTGATCAAGTATTCAAATAAAGCACATATAGTTTGCAATAAAAAAAAGAAATTTGTAATGTATTATGTATTATTTTTGAACATTTTTTAAGTGAGAGTGCAACATAGAAATGCAGAGAATGTTGGGACATAAGCAGTTGCTTATGTTAGGTGACACCTAAGCAGAGATATTTATGATAAAGACCTGTTCTCTAATGTACAAAGCAAGGATGCTTGACCTTTGGTTTCCGACCAGCATTTGAACCCACTGGCTCTACCAGGTCCTGGGTGTGTATCCCTGACCCACTTGCTCCACTGCTGCTCTTACCTGTCCTGCTGCAGGGTGAACCAGGCATCTCTGCAGGCTGTAGGTCTGGCTTTGCTCAGCTCCAGAGCTGCAAAGCCCTTCTTCTTTGCAGCCTGAGGCTTCTGACGCATTCTCACAAACATCAGGGAGCTGGCACAGCCTTGGCCTGGAGAATACAGAACAAAGAGAACCCTTTGTATCGGGGCAGCTTGTCTGTTTAACCTCTTTCTGCAGGCCTCCTAGTGGCCATTCCGCAGAAGAAATATGTTTCATATATTCAGTTTGCATATTTCATCTCAGTCACAGTGCTTAAAAGACCTGTGTCCTGCACTGTCTTTTATTAATTTTTCCCAATGAGGTCCATTTATAACATAATTCATTTCTACATGACCATTTTCCCACCTCTCCTTACCCCTTAGAATTAAACAGATTATTTTTTGTTACTGTGTCTAAGGCAGACATAAGACAAAAGATGGGCTGACCGGTATTATGCCTCATTAAAAAAAGCTTTCAGAGGTGAAACACTGCTTAGAACTTCAGTGTGAATGGGTGAGCATAAACTGCTATAAACTGAACAGGTGTATATGTCTGACAAAGGTTGGTTCTTGTGACAATACGGAAACAATGAATTCAAAATGGACTGTTTTTGCAGCTTAGTTTTCATATATGGATGGAGAGTAATTGGTATGTTTAGAACCTTCATCAGTGTTTACATTGATTTACAAGGGAGATTCCATTTTCCATGATAAGGGCCACAATTAAACATCAAGTTCTTCTTATTTTTGGAGTGATGAGGTTAATCGTAACAAATAACTGCAGTCTATATCACACCAATTAGCACTGTGCAACTAAAGTCTCTTTTCTTTGGCATTTTTTTGTAAATTACAGTATAACATGCGTAGCTAGAAAGCACATACGTAAGTCGATTTGATGTGGTTTGAAGCAAGTGCATGGTGATACAGGCATGTATTTAGCATCATGCTAATTGGTGGACTATACGCTTATCTTAGTTGTCAGTTACATCGTAGTTTTAGAGTGTAAATTAATTATTTCACCAAGCTATTAAAGGAAACAGGGACTCTTACAACACAAAAATCAATACCAAAGTAACTGAATGATAAGGCTAATATGCAAACGATGCAAAACACCTCAACCAAACAGATCTTATAGGCTGTTTAAAGTATATTTACCTGAAATCTGCTTCTTCAAACATGGTTGCTGCTCTGTTCTATAATCCTGCTCCAACGCTGTGTTGGCTCCTCCACAGCAGAAGGTGGCAGCGCTGCTCAGTACGGCTGCTCCCAGCGTCCCAGAGGACTCCAGAGCGAGCTGTTCCAGCTGCCGCTCCACCTCGGCCATGTCTCGGCTCTCCCACCCTCTTCCTCCCCTGTGCTCGTCTCTGCTCTCGTCCTGAGAGAAGTGTGGAGGTCCCAGGTCACTGATCTCACCAGCGCAGGAATGGCCTCTGCCTTGGACTGAGGTGTAGCACTGTGGATTTCACTTTGGATCTCTTTGATTGTGTCTTTTGAAGTTTTGCTTTTTGAGGACTTCTTACGACCCTTCCACCTAGAAGGACAGATGGGTCACTGCTGATGTTTTTGATCGAGAGAGCATTAAGGCATGTTATACAGTACTAAACTCTGTTACATGGTAGGACATGTCCGTAGTAGCAACAACCCACAGATGAGCCTACTTCTGAGGGGCAGAAAAATCTAGCCATGTTTAGGTAATGTATTTACTCAGCGGTGCCTACTTGCTGGCCAAAAATTATTTTGAAAAATGTATACAATAATAACTCATTAAACAAACTGCACTGAAAACTACTTCACATGTAATGATGATCAAAATATACTGTAATAGAGCCACTGTGCACTGACCATAGTTAATGATTAATGATTACTGATTAACGAGGGGTCAAAATTTTCAAATAGTCATGAAAGTCTAAAAATTCAAAATGGTAAATAAACTGTGATTTTTGATGAGCACACTGTTCTCCACCAGAGGGCAGTGAAGAGCCAGCAGACAGTACAAAGCACAGCTACAGCACATAGCATGGCTGAGAAGAGTTGATAAACATCAAGCTCAAGCTCATTTTACACTCTTCTCGTATAAATTTAATGGAATAAATTTTTTTGGATATCAAATTTTACTTGAAAGTCCATCCCTAAGTTAGACATTAGTGTAACAGTATGCAGCTCTATTTTGTATGGACAGACGCCCCTCAGCTAAGCCACAGTACAGACCTCTGTGTAGATTTGCTGAAGTGAACGTGGGAGATATCGGAGAAGAAGCTGACTGATGCCAGGTTGTCCACACTGCAGGAGAACAGATACTCCTCACAGCCGTTCTCCTGCACCAGAGGGAGGGACTTATGAGGGTCAAAGAAGATCTTGTTGGCCGTCACCAGGAGAATCCCAGAGACCACACCCTAGAGACAGAGAGAGAGAGAGAGAGATAAGGAGAGAGAAATCACTAGAACATTTTCAAAGTCATTGAAATAATAATAATAATAATAATACCAGGATAACAAGAACGCTGCCAGACGTTACTGCAGCTTCACTGGTAAAAAGTGCTCATTAAAAAGGAAGTAATTATATCTAATACAATCTTTAAAGCTTTGAAAGATGAAAACACAGAACTGCTGATGAGTAACTTTGTGAAAAAACTGAAAAAAGTTCTACTCCATTCATAGTAACCCATTCATGTTTCATTACTCTTCACAAGTTTACATGATTACTACAGAGCGCTGCTCGTACTCTGTACTCACTTTCCGGTCGGTGATGAAACGACAGAACAACTTGAGGTAAGGCATGTCTGTTGGCCCCTCCCCCTGTGTGCACTCAGGCGGGAGAGCCAATAGGCACAGCTGGCCATCAGGCATTGGCACCGCCTCCACGTCCTGAAGGTGAAGAGTGCAAAAATAATAATGATAAAAATAATAATAATACTATTTCTGTTTTTACATTCTATTTTAAATCCAGCTGAGAGTTTTGAGCAATTATTCACAAAGTAATGTATTTGATAATCTTTTCTCACAGGATTCAGACTAAGGTCTGCATTTGAGCCACATAATCAGACAGCAATGGCAAAGAAGCTACATTAAGATAAAAAGAATCAACTGAATAAGCTTTGATTAAGCTACAAATACATAACCAGTTGTACAGTCATATGCAAACGTTTGAACACACCTGGTAAAATAACATGTATTGCTGAGTTCTTGTATTTTATGTAAATTTTTCCCCCAACGTGTTAAACTTTTTAACTCCTTGGAACCACTGGTGGTTCCAAAACACACTTAGTCATATTCTTTACTTCATAACTTTCATATTTCATAAGCTACATTCAAAAGTTGGATGTCATATGAGAGCTGTAACAGTCTTCTTTCCAGTCAAATGGATGGAAAATGTAATTTTAAAACTTTTTCTACTGAAAGTTGACCCATTTTTCCACAAATCTGATCAATAAACTGGATCTCAGATGGGGTCTCTTCAATGATCTGCTCTGTAAAAATTATTTTTATAAAAACATACAAAGAGCATCTAAGATATTTGGCTTTCAGCAGTAAATTGTAAGCATATAGCAATATGTGTAACATAAAACACATGTTCTGTTAATTTGAGGGGAGCTTTTATAAAAAAAAAAAAATAAAATTACATTTGTTTCATGCAGTTACTGAATAATTGGCCTTATGATTTGGGCATGTAAATTCAGATGGAAAAGCCAAAACATAACCAGGAGAACAAGAGGTTAAACTTAAAAAAAATTGCATTTAAATTAGCAGCAAATACTTAAATGTGTTCTCTGCAGAGGACGGATTAACTTTTAATCAATTGGAAAAACAACAGAACTCATTTGACCAGAATGACTTTTGCATATGACTGTATACATGGCACAAAAACCTGTAAAAGCGCTGCAAAACTAGGCCTGTTGAGGTTCATTGTGAAGCTAAATTCACTGACTGGGGAGAAAACTTACACAGTTGAAGGTGGTCTTGAGCTAAATACAATGTATCTGATCAACTCAACTGAGCAATCACTGAATGTGACTCATTAACCAACAAAACCACCTTTGTTCAATGTCTTGTGGGTGTGTAATTTAAATCACTGTAAAACAAAAGACAAACTAACTCCCCAACACTCCTGAACAGATTTGGTCTTGAAACACTTGTTACAGTTTTTCCAAAAAAGCTCCCACCACCAGTCAATGCCACCTCTGATGTACTAAGCTTGAGTCAGAGTTTTCCAGACTGCACCAAAGTTCATTTGCTCTCTTGTTCTCCAGCAAAAAGCAGTCAATTAAAAGCCAGCCTTGGTCAGTGCACACATTCCCCATTGCTCCATGAATCCTGCTGAGTTAGAGAGAAAGTAATCGAGCTACTCACCAGTAGCTTGTCATATTCTGCGTCTGTTGAAGGAGAAACAGGGGTTGTGGGGGTCACAGCATCCATTCTGGGCTCCGAACTTGGACAGAGGTCAGGGGTTGTCGCCAGAGGTGGCCGTCCTTGGGTGGAGGAGGCCTTGCTTTGGGGGACACAGAGCTGCTGGAGAGGATCGAGCAGAGACATTGTGTCAGGGAACATCACAGGAGTCACACTGCTTTAAAATGCCACTAATAGCTCTCTCACTTCCCCTTTTCAGTTTCACAGCATGAAACACACCCCCTGTTGACATCACCACACAGCTGATGAGGGAGGGGCAGACAGGGGGAGGAGAGTAAGAGCAATCGGAGGAGGAAGAGATGCATAAATTATATGTAGGTAAATAACATTCCACTGAAATGAAAGGGGCAGGAAGTACTTCACTTCCTCTGTGTATTATGTAATTTAAACAGCACACATTCTGAGTTGACTGCTGTTCGAAATCATTGTTTTTCCATAACATACAACCAACTTGGCTGCAAAAATACTAACATGGTAAATCTGTGAGGCTAAACAGGTTTCAAATCATTAGTTGGAAGCTAGTTAAGAAACGATGCGTTTACAATGATGAACAGATCTGTAAATGGAAAGCTGCCTCTGAATGAAGATACAACAAAATCTTTTTTTCCTGAAGCACTTGTTGAGTAAAACATTAGATTTTGTTGTTTGTACATACAATCTAAACTATATGACACACATTTTAAGATTTGTTTTCCAGAAACTACTACAAATTATCCTGTAACTGCTATGAACTGATAGATACAGTACTGTGAAAAAGTCAGAGACCACACTTCATTTATTCAATTACCAGTCAAAATGGCCAGCAAAAGTTACAGTGACACTTTATTTTGAGTGGTCCTTTTTAGATAAACAAGCACTGAACAGGCTCTCTGTAACATATCAAAAAACATATCAGCGCTGTCCAATGAAAAACAAGTATCTCCAAAGTAGTATCTTTACAGGAGAGGGCAAAAACGTTCTTTACTTTCAGTGTAAATTAATAGAAAAAGCTTTTATTCTAAGCGATTTTGGAGCACTTCTGTTGGTCCAATCATCTTTACATTTTAACACAATGTAAAGGACAGCTGCTGAGCTCAAATGATGCAGAAAAGTAAAAATCACAAAAAAATGGAGACGCATGTTTTTCATTGGACAGCGACGATATGAGGGTTAGGATTAGGTTTTGGGTTTTGCGTAATGGAAGTAACATATTAAAAATACATCTGCTTAATGTAAATAATGCATCAGCAAAACATCTACAAGATATTTACTTAAATGTATTCAGATGCTTCACTACAGCTACTTCACTGATGTGTCGCTGATGTGTTACTGATAATCTGTTAAGAGTTTATTAAATCATCTACAAAGGAGCACAAGTTTCACATAAAGTGTTACCAAACTTATTTATTTTGTCAGTGATATGAAAAAGCAGAAAACATATCTAACAGAAAATGACAAAGAAGCCTCAACAACTAAATATGATTTTTTCATTCTTGTCTTTATTACAGCTTCCATTCTTTTCAGGGAGCTTGCTTTCAGTTTTTCAGTGAAATCTCCAATAACCTCTAAGGTTCAGTCTTAGAAGTGGGTTGTGGTTGGGTTCTGCTTCCCACAGTCTAAATAATCCCAATTACAAATTTAGACTAATCAGTCGAAAAAAGATTTCCTCATCTCTGATGTCCAGTTTCGCTGTTCTTTTCTTTTTTGTCTATTTTCCCAGATTTCTTGACTTGTACTTAATGGCTTTTTGATTGGAAACAAAAACGAAATGAAGGATGTACTTAAGTTGTGTTGTGGACCCTTTATCTACCGTTACTTTGGGTTAATCAATCAAAATGTATGGCTTTTTATTATTTTTAAGTCAATCACGAACAAACTATTTGTTGCAAACCAACAAAACATTTATTTATTTATTTATTATTTCACACCATACTCACCATATCACACCACATTCATTTTCAAGCTCATCACAATAAAACCACTTACAAATATGAATGTAACATGAAATTTATGCATGTACCTGTGTGGTTGAGAGGGCAGAGCAGGTGGTTGTGGGTAGTGTAGTATCTGTTGGTCTGTCACTGAACTGAGAGGCCACACTAAACACGGTGTCCCCCTGATGAACCTGTTTAACACGCACAGAAATGTACAGAGGTAACTAATATTTTAAAAATGAGCAATAAAGAGCTTTTTCTTAGTTTACAATTTTGCAAATGATTCACTATATCAGAGCACAATTCAGACATCAAAACGACCTTATTAAAAAAAGAGAGCGAGAACGAGAGAGTGAGAGTGAGAGCGAGAGAGAGCGAGAGAGAGCGAGAGAGAGAGAGAGAGAGAGAGAGAGAGAGAGACATGGCAGTAGTTTGTTTGATAAACATTATGCAAACTACTGCCAAATTGGACAACCAGCAAAATATCCTGTATCCAATGTATCACCTAATGATTTGCATTAAGGAAACACTGCACTGGTAGAATCTGCTAGCCAAAGATACATGCAGACCAAATGCAAATAACTTCTACCATCCTGTAGGCTGTTGATGCTGCACACATTGCTGATTGCTAAGCTTGGAAGGGAAAACTCACCGATTTTAAGTTCTGCACAATTCTCCCAAAAAGATAAAAACAAAGTAATTCAATGTGGTGTGATGTAAAATGCTTCTTTCTAGAGACTCTTACTGAGGCAGAATTGCTCACAGTGGTGGTAAAGAGTTAAAAAAAATCTCTAAAAGCTCCCTCACAGAAAGCTTTTACGTGAAATAGATTTAATGTAATATGCTGCTTGATGCCTCAGACATTGGCGAAAGGCACACACAGGGTACTGAGGCAAAATAGTCCCCAAAGAAAACTTGAAGGGTTTCTTTTTTTTATGATATACATGATTAGAAGTCAGCTTTACAGTAAATATCAATGTTACATTATGATCAAAACCACCTTTATTAGAGAAATAATTTTCCATTTTCTGTCAACTGTTCTTCATTTAAAAACCAAGTTCTATACAAAATTGTTACAAATGGACATACATAATTTTAGAATTAAACTCTTCATTAATATTTTCTTAATTATGGCTATTTTACCATCATCAACATTACATATAAAATTCAGAAGACTTGTGTAAGTTCACTGGTGGTTTTGGACAGTAATAAAATAGCTATATTTATGCTGTAGACATTGTGAGCCCTGGTTCCCATCACCACCACTGTAAAGAAATCTGAATTGAAATCATTTTACATTAAACCCATCTGAATGACTTTGTTTATACCTCAATGATTGAATTATGCATACATTTAGAAATATCAGTGGAATTCCCCTTTAAACACAAATTTGGTGGTCCTTATAGGGGCCACTGCAATTGATTATTTGACATCAACCCAATGCCAATGCCAAAACAAATCACGATTGATTTGAATCTATAGTAGTAGACCTGACGCTGACCATCCATCTGAGTTATGTCCATAACCAGCAGACAAAACAGCCTACATTAGGTTCCTGAAATGGGTCACAGACAACTGTCCGCTGGCATTTTCCCACAGCACTCCAAAAACGTGCGCATGTGTGTATCCATGAGTTTGGAATCGCTGTTATATTTTGATATTTTGGCATCACCTTTGTCACTGAACGGGTCTGGGGTACAGCAAATATCCAGAATTAATCTCATTTCAATTTTCAAAAACAAAAAAAGTAAATAGATAATTACAGTATATACTTCATATACTTTATCTCCACTTTTGTCATTTTTCATTTTTTGACATAATTTGAAAGTAACTGCTGCCCTTTAGATTGCATGTAAATTTCATGATGAATGGATTAAAAGAAATTACCCAAATGGCTTGGGAAAAAAGTCTGGTTCCAGTGACTTACATTAAAAGTGAAGTATGTTTCTTCCTTCTCCTGTAAAGTTGCCATTTTGGAGATACAAGGTTTTCTTCTGACAACAGTGATATACATCATATAATTATACTGAACAATTTCTTGTTTACTGGATTCTTACATTTTTAATTTTTCAATTTTTTGAATAAAAAAAAAAACTTTAGGCAAATAGTTTGTAATATATAATACCATACCACATAATACACAAATAATAATCTATTAATTGACCTCAACTAACAGCACCAAATGTACAGTATACAATGCCAGAGACACGATTCTCATCACTGCAGAACATTTTCCCTTCCATGAAACAAACAATAAAAGTAACCAGCTTGTAACTGGATAACTTCAGCTCATGACTGCACTCATTTTCCAACCACAGACTAAAAGGACTTTTAATGGAAAACCCATCCAGGCACAATAACATGGTGTGAAACTTGGCTTAATCATGTGTCTGGTAAACCAGAATCTGAAGAGCTCTTATTTTAGCCAAAGACATAAAGGTGTTACAATTGATTAGTGGCTAAAGGTTCTATCGCTGTAAATCACCACAGAAATACACAAATGAACAGAATACAATATGCTAAATAGCTGAAAGTCAGAAAAAAGCTACACTAAAACAAACGTATCAAGCCGACATGCAGCCTGTACTGTTTCACTATGATGTCTTTCAGTAACTGTACCACAGTGAACAGCATTTACACAAGCACTCAGATGTATTCTCATCATTAACGTTGAATTCGGTACTTACCAGAGCCTTTTTAGACCATTCTCTCCCATTGGAAAGCTTCAGCAGAAATTTCTGGAAGTCCATAAATCCAAACGACTAATAATCAATAATGAATATGCGGCTTAAAAGTGCTGCATTGACAGCTCATAGCGTTTTGGTGACCTTTGCTCAACAGCCTTCTGTGAGTTTCAATATGATGTAACATAATGGCCATAATATCAGTAGAGGTTTCTGTTTTTTATCTGTAAAGTATGAGGGTGTAACTGACAGTAAAGATGTATGCGTCACTCAAGACTGACTTTTTACAGAACCGTCCCTGAACCATCCCAGAACCATCCAGAAAAACTGTCAGCCATTCTAAAGTGAAAACGAAATGTTACAACTGCATTGTTTAATATGCATTTCTCTCCTGAATTTTTGTTCTGTCATATTACGAATTCCCATAAATAACAACTCATGATAACTTTCGCACAGGCCACAAAACACGTTTCACATCTTTCCAATATGTTAAATAAAGCAAATAAAGAGTAAGTTAGTTTACAGGCACATCAACTATACAATCACTTGGGTTTTATACACATATACATATATAAAACGGCAAGAAAGCTCAAACCAACTACACCGATCAGGCATAATTATGACCACCTCCTTGTTTCTATGCTCATTGTCCATTTTATCAGCTCCACTTACTATATAGGTGCACTTTGTAGTTCTTGTAGTTCCCTCACAGAGCAGGTACTATTTGGGTGGTGGATCATTCTCAGACCAGTGCAACACACACTAACACACCACCACCACGTCAGTGTTACTGCAGTGCTGAGAATGATCCACCACCCAAATAGTACCTGCTCTGTGAGGGAACTACAAGAACTACAAAGTGCACCTATATAGTAAGTGGAGCTGATAAAATGGACAATGAGCGTAGAAACAAAGAGGTGGTCATAATGTTATGCCTGATCGGTGTACGTGCCTGATCAAATGAAGAATTGCAAGTTCATCATCTTCTACAGTAGGGGTGCCCAATACTGTTCCTGAAGATCTACCACCCCATACATTTCAGATCCAACACACCTGGATCAACACTATTGGTATGTATTTTACCTTTATTACCTGGCACTAATCAGGTGTAATACATTAGGGTTGGAGCTAAACTCTGCAGGGTTGTAGATCTCCAGCACCAGGACTAGGTACCCCTGCTCTAGATGATGTACACCACGTAGCCAAAAGTATGTAGATACACCTCCTAATTGTTGAATTTAAGTGTTTCAGCCACACCCATTGCTAACAGGTAGATAGCATACAGTCTTGCAATCAGTAAAATGGGTCGTACTGAAGAGCTCAGTGACTTTAAACATGGCACTGTCACAGGATGCCACCTCTGCCACAAGTTAGTTTGTGAAGTTTCTGTCCTGCTGGATCTGCCCCAGACAACTGTAAGTGCTATTATTGTGAAAAGGGAGTGTCTAGAAGCAACAACAGAACAACCACCAAGCGGCAGACCACGCAAACTCACAGAGCAGGGCTCCGGAGTCCTTGGACTGTCTTTCTCTCTAACCTAGTGGTAGCTAGCAAAGATTCTTTCTCTGGATAGACAAAGCACTTTTTGTAAGTCGCTCTGGATAAGAGCGTCTGCTAAATGATGTAAATGTAAATGTAAATGTAAATGACTCACTATAGAGCTCCAAACTGCTTTTGGAAGCAACATCAGCAAAAGAACTGTGCGTCAACAAATCAACAAAACCTCTAATCAGACCAGGGGCGCCTACATTTTGCATATGAATGTACACTCAGACATGCAAATCATACATACGCACCTAGACTATAAATACATCAGGCAGCACATTCTTTTCTCGAAAAAGAGCGATATAGAAAGGAACAGAGAGTGAGAGAGACAGAGAGAGACAGAGAGAAAGAGAGAGAGAGAGAGCGAGAGAGAGACCTTTACTCACCTCTTGCTCATTTCTCCTGCTTGATTCATCCGACGATTCCAGCGTTTTGTTTGCATCAGATGGGAAAGCAGCCTCTGTAAAATCGACAAACAAAACATTAATCTAACAGCACCTCCTACACTTCATCATCACTGATTATTTCTGTTCTAGTCTTTTTCTGCCATTTGTTTCATTTGCTTCACTCATTCTTACATATTAATAAAAATCAAGATGAGTTCAGTTTAAATAAAGCTTTGTGTTCCCTCTCAAAATCCAAAACGTTTGAGCTGTTTATGCTGGTACTATGGGATTTTACCGAGAGTGACAAAAACATATGCAACCCAGCATCTCTCTCTCTCATACGCACACAAAACAGTTACTGTGTGAGGCAGATTCGGTGTGACGTTCACAAGACTCAGTAGCATCAAATCAGTCTTTATTCCGCTCTTATTAAAATGCATCAAATTCAGGTAATAAACACTAGTAAATACTATAAAGAAGCAATATGACTGTATATGGTGTATAAATACCAAAATAAGTTACGATTAGTAGTGGGCAATATATCGGTTCTGACCTTTGTCAGAAATAAGCACACTTAATGCAGCATACATACAACGTCAAACAACATTTAGCACTGCTTTTGCTGAGCCACAGAAGCTGCTGCGTGCTAACACATATGCACCATAGGTTTATCTAGAGATGGGTACTCATGATATGTTATAGTTATTGTAATAAATTTGGTCATGTGCTGGTCAACAGCACACATTTCTGAGCATATTATCAGTACTTAAAGAAAACTGAACAACCACATGCTTCATTACGGAGAGCATAATTAATCCTGCTTAACTGGATTTAGTGCAGCAATAATATTTATAAGCTTGGATTAATATTCCTTTGTTTTCCATTTTATTTTGTATAACCTTTTACAAAAAAAAGCCAAACATGTTTTAGTGAGCCCCTTTTATTTTAAATACAGGGCATCAAACATGTGCAGAACATACTTAACCTTTCTGATTGGGAAAGTAATCAGATACAGGCGTTTACAAGGCTATTATTCTTCTGTTTAACAGATTATTTACAGGATTACAGAACTCGTTCAGAATACCTTGTTAAGTATTCCGAATGGCCTCAATCAGGCTAGTCTATCCCAACTGACGCATATACACGGACGTATTCTATTCCTATTGAGCTATCAGTCAAATTATTACTGGATTATCAGGCTGCATGTAAATGTGGCCAATGTGAAACAGTGCATAAACTGTTTTTCATTGCAAAGGGTCAATTGCATTTAAAGTTTTTGATCTGTTTTTAAACATGTCACCGCCTGCACATTTTATTTGCGTCAAAAAACCAAAATATGTATTGTGTATCATAAAACTGATAAAAAAAAACAAAAAAAAACAAGATTGTTAGGATCAGAACTAAAATAAACACAAACTATGTTCTAAAATGAAAGTGAGAAGAAAGTAATGTGCGAGACAAGTAGACTGACTCTGCAGGGCTCAGCTTTCGTAAAAGAGGGCGGCAGAGCACAGTAAAGTGAGTTTAAAGGCCCTCTTTCCCTCCATCTCGGACACACAGACACTCATTCTCTTTAACAGCATTACCTATGCAGACTCGCTGGCTTTCAGAATTGATTACACACCGCATTTCCAAGCCAAAGTCATGAGACTAACAGCTTACTTAGCTCATACTTTTTAACTGCAAAGCTCCATTGTGTTCCATACACAAAAATATGTACCATTACTTTCCCCAACCAAAACTGCTTTAAGAAAAATACTGAAAGCTCCATGTTAAAAATTCTATCTATTGTTGACAAATCATCAACAAGAATGAGGTAAACCTGTAACTGTGGCTGGTAGCTGAAGGTTGAAGGTTGAACTTGAATGACCGTGTTGACTCTCTCACCTTTGAGGTAATACTGCCTCAGTTTTGGGTTGCGGATGTGATGCCGTCCGGTGCTGCCCTCTGCTTTAGTCAGAACGTTCCGGGCTCCATTAGCGCGGGAGGTGGCGTCCCACGGCCCCGTGAAGAAACCTGGAGGTTGGGTGACGCCTGCAGGCAGCTTGGTGCCCAGTCTGCGGGTCAGCACAAGAGAGCGGTCAATATAACACAGCCACAGTTCAGCCTCATCGGCTCCAATTCACTGTTAAAGGCCAATGACCAGACATATGCGAAAGTCTGAGCACTCCCGGTTAAATGACGTTTTGTTGATTTTCTAAGTGATGTTCATTAACACCTCCTCAACAGGGACCACACTTAAATATGGCATTTTTGCTGAGTTTAACATACTGGGGGGAAAAAAAAAGAAAAACATAACATGAAATGTTTGTACAGGCCATATTTTATGTTATATTTTTTACCCCCGTATGTCGCAATCAGCAAATAAACAATAATTGTACATTAAAACACGCAGAGGTGTGTTCGTGGTAGAGAATCAGTTAACATATTTTCACATAGAAAATCAACAAAACATAATTTGATCAAGGGTACACAAACTTTTGCATACGATTGTATATGAATGGTCTCAGATTAGTTTGTTCAATCTGCTCATTTTTGTCATGTTCTGTGTCCCCCCACTTTGCTTTACTGGGAAAAATCCCTGATGACTCAGTATGAAAAATTCTTAGTTAGACGGTCAGCTGATGTTTGGATGAGGCTGCTACGATGAGCCATCAGGTTACATGGGGAACTTAGACACTGACTCAACCACTAAGCTTCTAAACTATGGAACTGAATTCCACTTATTATTAGGCAGTCAATGCAAATCAAACAAGAAAGCTGCTGGTGTTCTCAGGAAAAGGGACCAGATCTCAACGTCACTGAATGTGTTTGGATCGTGAGATGCATAAAATGCTACCAATTTCTAAGACAGAACTTTGGAGGTGTGAAAAAAATTAAAGTAATAAAATGTATTTACACACACTGACCAGCCACTTCCTTAAAATGACCTCCTTGTTTCTACACTCATTGTCCATCTGTGTGCATTGTACTATACAGGAGCATTTGTAGTTCTAAAACTCCAGCAGCACTGCTGTGTCTGATCCACTCGTACCAGCGCAATACACCACCACACCAGTGTCCAGTGTCACTGCAGTGCTGAGAACGATCCACCACCCAAATAATACCTGCTCTGTGGTGGTCCTGTGGGGGTCCTGACCATTGTAGAACAGGGCGAAAGAGGGACAACAAAGTATGCAGAGAAACAGATGGACTACAGTCTGTAACTGTAGAACTACAAAGTGCATCTATATGGTCAGTGGAGCTGATAAAATGGACAATGAGCATATTTATCTATCATATGCTTTTATTAACTTCCCAGATTTGATGAAGGTATGATGACTGTCATTAACAGGCTCTCTATATTTGAACTAAATCTCTTTTTAATGAAACACTGGTCAGCGGTCAGTGTTACAGAAGTGCTGACGACAAGTGAGACTCACTTAAAATAACACAGCATGATGTAACGTCTTGCGATGACAATAGTGTATCATTATGTTCCCCAACAGGGTACTTCTGTCGTCTACTCCCTCTAATACATTCACTGCAAGACAGTAAAGAAAACACTGAGAAGAGCTGCTGGTCAAAACTATTTATTATGCAGCTGACTCCTGTAGCTTGTAAGCTACCAGTGCAGCAAGGCCAAGCACAAGCGCTGATCTTATACACACAGCCGGACCTCTTTCAAGCCAAAGTCAAGCATTGTCTTCAGCTCACTTATCTGATTATCAGCAGGGGAAAACAGGTTTCACTGTACTTATGTGTAAACATGAACCAACATGTATAAGACTGCTGAAGGACTGGCCTGTTCTTGACGTTGCCAAAGTAGCTGGCCCTCGTCTTGTCTCTGTGCTGCCTGTAGTCCATCGTTCCTTGTGTTGGGGTCTAGAAGCAGGCCAGTCCCTGGAGGCCTTCAATGGACGGGATAAATGACGTAGCGTTTCTCACCCGTTCGCACAGCTGGACGCATCTTCCTCCTCTTTTCCTTCGTCATCCTTGTTTGGCAGAAACACCTGCAGCGAAATGGTGGAGAGGTTGAGTGTTTCGTCTACGCATATCAGAAACACATAAATGCTTCCAGAGCTCATTTACTGAAACGCAGACGCTCTGAAGCACAAAACAGAAAGACGTAGTTATTGTGCATTTGCATATCAGTTAAGTCGCATTTCAGCCCAGCGGACAGTAACTAGCAATATTTACTCAATTCAATGTACTTAAAGTGACATAAAACTAGAAATAAAAGTGTTAATTTTGGTGTTGTTGCAGTGTTCTATGGCACCACATTGTACCCCTCAACCTCAGTCTCATCGGTTTCACAGAATTCACTATTTTATTTCAATTTCACAACATTTGGGAATCCCTGGTGTCAAATAATCTTGACTGCTAGCCTAGCCATTGAGCTACAGGCTAATAAACACAACCAAACTAGCGTTAGTGTAACCACAGATGTTATAAAGGAGGAGACTGGTCACTGGTTGAAATACAAATGGCAAAATAACACTGAATATGGTGTCTGTTTAGGAAGAAAGTTCCTCCCTTTAAGGAAAAGAGCCCATCAGTTTGCTGATTACGCAGAGAGTGGAGAAAGCTCCCCCTCATTGCTGTGATAGCGGAGTAGCCAAAACAACCCAAAAAACATGTTTTTTTTTGTGCATTTCTGAGCCAAACACTACAAACTATTCATGAGCTTTTTTTGCCAGATTTTACCAGTGATTTCAAATATCTTTTTGAAATGATAATCTGACCCTCAGTTTTGAATTTTTAGGCCTCTCTGTTCAAAGTAATAGGAGCCTGGTCTTGTATGGCTGGAAATAACTGCCTGGTGGTGCTGCAAAGATGGCAGCCAAGTCAACACACTTTCCTATCAGGGCCTTGGTGTAACTCACCTCAGTTATATAACAACATAGTAAAGAAGCGATTCTATCTTTATTCAGCAGACTACTGATGCCGGGGACAAAGTTTTTACCCTTTCTGCTAAAAAAGAAGCTAAACTGAGGTGCGTTATTCAAATAGCTACAGTAGCTACCTCGCTAACTTTAGCTTTCAGGTTGTCCACCTCATTTAACGAGTCATTTCATCTGAGTAGACCATTCTCTTCATTGCAATGATGATTTGAAGACATCTGCATTAGCCAGCTAGTGAAAAAAAAATAAAATTTTATAAAAAGTCCCTCCCACCTTCAAGATACATCATCACAAGAGGCTCTTTTTCTCTTTAAACAGGAAAATCTCACTCTATAGAGCACTGTGGCACCGCTGCAGGAGGCGAGTAATCATATTTACAACAGATATAGTGAGGCTAACTGTTTTCATTTTGGCTGAATTGTCCCTTTAAATACAATCTAAAATGTTTCAACACTTTTACCCATGCTAAAGTATATTTGTGAGGAAAGTGATCTGCATTTCTTTTAATCTATTGGACTGCTACTCTTGATCAATTTCAAGCTTTAGCATTTTATCTTAGACCGAAAAGAGAAGAATACACCCTAACAAACTTCAGCTCCCATGCAGTTTTACAGGGAGTTTTTAAAGCTACTTTTTTACGGTTTTTGGTAGCTACTTTTTTGTTATTTCACCTAAGTAGAGTAGCTGGTATCCCAAAATTGTAGCATCCTGTTGTTATAAAATCAAAAATAAGTGGGTTCCCCAGCAGTGCCTGAAATTCCGATGGGCCATGTTGAACGAATTGTCCCGTTCCACCTTAAACAGGGCAGCAGTTACAGTGAGACTCCAGACGCCGGAATGTCACTGCTGAACCATTTAAGGTGGAACGAGAAAATTCGAACAAGAAGCCGGTGAATAAGCAGCCGACTTCATTCTCGTATAGCTCTACCGCTTCTGTCGCAGTTCTCTCAAGTCATTATTGCATAACACAACATTACAGACCTCAAATGAGCCTTTTCTGACGGAAATTAATGTAGAACAGCAAAGACGAGACCAGATACGGATTTCATGAAGTACAAAAACAATGCAGCTAGCTAGCTAAAGCTATCTCAGCTAGCTAGCTAACTCGCCCCCTGTTTTCTCGAGTAGCGTAATTCCAGTAAATCCAAAATAAGAGAGGCTGGCCGCTGTTATGTAACTCCTACAGAGCAGCAACGCATTTTAGCTACCGCAGAACATGATGGCATTTAGCAGCAGTGCAAAAAGCAGTGCAAAGACACAGACAACTAACCTTCCCATCAGTGTATCGTATAATCTGCAGGACGCTGCAGTGTGTTTGAGTGTTTGGATGGGATGAACACTCTCCCGTTTCTTCTATAAAGAGGTAATGATGGGTTACAGACTGCAAACGCACACCGCCTCCTGCTGGATCAAGCACAGAGAAAAAACGAACAAAATGAAAGGGAGAAATGTGTACACAAATATACGGAACCCCTAAGGTGAAATTACGATATTGAGGCCACGAGTTACTATACTGAGGCCACAAATTACTGTATTGCAGCATGGAATTAATATATTGACCCCACCTTATTAAAAATAATCACCCTCACCCTAGGGAGATGTGTCATTTACACACACATATAAAATGTGAAAAAGAGGGGCCGGATAAATCGCCTAAAAGCCACCAAGGAAGCAGGATTGGTGCATACCACCGACTTTTAAAAATTCCGCATAATTCAGTCCTTGAGATGTAAACAGTCATTCAGAGTGTTTGATGTGAAATGGCTCATTTTAGTGAAACTTACTAGTGTGCACTTCTACAATGGTGGGGAAAGGAACCAGGGGTCGCAGGGGTCGCAATGTCTGCAGCGCAAATATAGCCATTTTATTTACTTTTATTTTCATCTAGAAAGTGAATCTCATGAGTTTTTAAATGTAATGTTGATAGTAGTAAAATAGCAGTAAATCAAAAAAGGTTTCTTTGGCTAGTATATTTCATAGTCATTATTGTTATTATTATTATTGCTGTTGTTAATAATAATAATAATAATAATAAAATATGTAATTAACATTAAATAAAAAATACATTTTAGCCTAAAGGCTTATACAAAAACTATTGCAAAACAATGTCTCAGGCATCAGGCAATGCATTCGTAAATACCTCATATAATCGCTTTCTGTGGGATTGCTTTTATATACATTAAATGCTTCAGACGTCTGGTTCTTAACATCATTGTTGTGAACAATTCTGACTCGGTGAGCGTCTCAAGGATGGAACATTTCACACCAAACCACTTTTAATGACTTTCCTCACCTCCCGATTCTTTAATGAGCCCATCATTTTTCTCTTATTTGACTTTTATTTTGTCGAGCGTGTCCGCGGAGTGTCACGTTGGATTGGATGCTGAGATTCGCGTTGCCCAAAATTAACCAATCAGAGCGCTGCGCCTCTTGGCTAACAGGCTAACGCAGCATCTGGGTAGTGTTTGGTGCTCTGCATCGCGTCGGAACAGAGAAAACAGAAACATCTGTACAGGTTAAGAAGAAAATCTGCTCATTTTAATCACTAATAACTCGCAACACACTCGTCCATCATTTTCGAGCATATCGCGTCCCTTAACGGGCATGTTTGTCCGCAGGTTGGCTGGTGTTTATTCCGTTAGCCGGCTAGCGGAACACTTAGCGGTTATAGTCGACGCTGCTAGCTGGAGCGAATGAAGCTAAGCTATCTAACAAACTGGGGTCAACGCTCGGGAACCAAGGTTATCGGTCCTTCACTATAAGTTAGTTTAAACTGGGTGTTTGTTTAAACCGTTGCACTTCTAAATAATGGAATCGAGCTTTGAGCTACGAAATGTTGAAAGCTTAAACTAACTTCCACACGAAGCTGAAGTCGCCTCTCATTCGCCAGCTGCTTGTTCGAATTTTTCCGGTCCACCTTAAATGGTGCAGCAGTTAGCTACTGTAACGTTAAGTGCTGCACCATTTAAGGTGAAACGGGAAAATTCAAACAACAAGCTGGCGAATAGGAGGAAATTTCAGCCTCGTTTCTCCACAGTGGTTAACTTTAGTAGCCGGCTAGCTGGGCTAGCTAGCGGTTGCTTAGATACGACTGGTTGTGTTTAGCACAGCGCACTTTTTTGTTCTGAATCTGAATAACGTTGGTTTTTTTCATAGAGTTTGTTGTTTTGCTGATGCTCACATGTTACTTGTTGTCATTTAAGATGAGATTATGTGCTAGCTGCGCTATCTGTGGTGTTTAGCCATTATATAAGTTGACTAAAAGTGTCTAACCTTAAAGGGGAACTTCACCGACTTTTCAAAAGCAGTCGTCCACCTCTAAAAGCTCCTTCACAGTATGCTGTTACATGAAATGCTTATGAATACGCTGCCTGATGTCTGGCACGTTTTAACGATAGTTTTGTGATAAAATTGTTGACTTAAAAGGTAAATGGAGGGACACAATAAAGGTGTTGTAAGGCAAAATAGTCGCAAAAGGAAGCTTATTTTTTTCAGACCGACCACTATTTTATCATCAACAGTATTGCATATTAAAAATTATACATGTTTTAGAGTTTTCCTAACATTTGAACGAAATGAAAGTCATTGAAATGACCTGATGAGATGAATCAAGTATGAAACAGGCAAACCCTAAAATGTGCAGTGAAGGGAGAATCTAGGACCATGATTAGTGAACTAATTAGGTAAGTTTTCCACACGCCTGTCTGCTGAGGTAGTTGGCTGGCACACAGGGCAAGTTTCTGGTTCTGGTCCTCGGAAGACATGTGTAGGTTCACTGGTGGTTTTGGATAATAAATAAAATGGCTATATTTGTGTTGTAGACATTGTGACCCCTGGTATCATATCACCACCACTGTAAAGACATCTGAGTCTGTAAGTTTTTCTACAATGAACATTTCTCATCAAACCACTCTGAATGACTTTGTTTACATCTCGACCACTGAATTGTGCAGAAATTTTGGTGGAATTCCCCTTTAACTAATGATATCTAACATTAATCTTTTTAACAACACTGATGGAAGCAGGCTTTGTTAGTGTTTCTCAGTTCTGGTCCTGGATTCTCTCTGCACGTTCTGGAGTTTTCCTAACATTTCAATGAAATGAAAGTCATTGAAATGACCTGATGAGTTGAATCAAGTATGGAGCAGTGAAACAGGCAAACCCTAAAATGTGCAGTGAAGGGAGAATCTAGGACCCTGATTAATTAAACTAATTAGGTCTTTTGCTGAGGTAGTTGGCTGGCGCACATGCACCAGGGCGAGTTTCTGGTTCTCTGTGGTCTTGTGCAGCAGCTCTACTGCAACTCTCTTACTCCCTTTCCTTCTTTCTAGATGTGTGGTGATCTTACTGCTGTAGACTGAAGAATCCCACCCACGCTGCTCACCCATCATGTCCTGTGTCCTGCAGTAATCACCTTTCGGCAATACAGTGTGCTGCATCATTTTTAACTGCTTCCAATAAGATGGAAACAGAAGCGGTAAGCTTTCTCTCTATGCGCTGTCCTACTTACTGTGTTTGGCGGTGGCTTATGTTTGTGTGTGTGTTTTTCAGGCAGTTATCCCCATTTGGCAGAACAAACCCCATGGCGCAACCCGAAGTGTGGTGCGGCGAATCGGCTCCACACTGCCACTGAAACCTTGTCCTAGAGCATGTTTCCAGGTGAACACACAAATAACCATCCATAACTACATGTGTAAATTCATTTTCGTTTCATTTAATCATTGCAGCCTGTAATAAACAAGTCCTAAATCATGCAAGTTCCTACAAGCTTTCCAAATACTTTCTGATACAGTGCATGATTGAGTGGGTCTTAATGAATTGTGGTTCACAGCAGACTGTGGACTGATATGAGAAGAATTTTTGGCTTTTCTTACTTAGCCAAGATCCATAATGCTTTTTTGTTTATGGACTTAGTTGTTGTTGAATGGAAGCTCAAACTGATCTGTGAATTGACCAGGAACTGCCAGGTCTTTCTCCGCTGCGGCACATGGACGGCCCGATGGTGCCCACACTGGCCGACATCGCCTGGATTGCGGCTGATGAGGAGGAGACCTTTGCAAGAGTGAGGTGTGTCTGCCTCCTTTTTCTCAGCTGGGTTTTTCATAAACTATGCTATTACCCTATTAAAGAGTTCTGGAATCAAGTTTATGGCAAATAAGACACATAAAGTTTCACCTCTTATCACCACTGACCAAAAAAGTGTTTCCCAAAAGTCTGGAGGAAGAAATGTTCATTATCTGTCACAATATTTACTTTGTCTAACAACTGTTAAGTTGGAACAGACAAAAAAGAGACAGTTGTTCCACATTAAAAAAAGTAAAAACTATGAATATGAATGGTGTTTACTCAGTGTTTCATGAACTGTGCTGTATTAAATCCAATTAAAAAGGGCTCTCTCTATGAAGAAACATGCACTTGTTTAGTGTACTGATGTCCACAATACCCTCAGAAAAGCACATTGTCCTAAGTAGAGCCTATTTGTGGGAAACACTGTGATGATGCTAATATTGGGGGAGGAAATGGCTACATGAAACTGTGTTTTCTGTTTTTTAGGCTATTTACATAAAAAAGGGCTTTGTAGTGTTTGTATGACACATTTGTAATGTACTTGCACTTTTTTTTTTTTTATAATTCACATGAAAGAAAAAGGTTTGTGCTGTAACCAGTCTTTTTCTCCCATCGGTCAGGAGCGACACACGTCCCTTCAGGCAGGAGTGGAGGCCGACTCCCCTGCTGGTGCTCCACAGAAACTCATCAGTGCCCAACTTCAGGCGTGAGGGCAAACGGATGGAGGGTCTGAGGAAGCCGGGTGTGACCGCGCTAAACCGCACCACTGCCCTGCAGGACGAGCTCAGCCGACTGCGGGCTCAGATCGCCAAGATCGTGGCCGGCGAGTCAGGTAGGGGCAACTGGGTGTACCGTAGAGCATAAAACAGCTGTCATCTGGTTACTTATGCTTTCACTTAAATGTGTTGCAGCTGTTCTTACATTATGTATTTTTACCTTCTCTGAAACACACAAGCACTGGATAATTAAATGTTCAGAAGTGTTAAGGAAATCGCAAGTCATAGACAAGTATGAATGTGGAGGGACCTCCCAAAGGCTTCAGCTTTTGTGTTTGTCATAAGTATTTGTTTGGCAGTTATTACTTTGTTGGCCTTTAGATTATCTGCCATGTTAGCTAGCTGCCAAATCAAATGACCAGATAAAAGATCAGAATTTTGTTCAGGAGTGACAGATAGTCTGCCCTTCTACAGTTTACATTGTTAAACATTGTCTTTCACAGACATTAGAAATGCTCAAGCCAAGCCTGCTGTGACTGCTATTTACAGCAGCTCCCCTTCCTGCTCTGTCTAAATGTGGAGTGTATAAGTGCATTATGCAACAGTGGCATTTGAATGGCACTGCATGGCAGGACGCTTGCCAGAGCAACAGGTTCTTTTGGGAAAAGACTTGAGCTACTTGTGTAATCTATGCGGTGCTCTTTGAATTGTGCCTTGGGTGTGCTTTGTGCTAAATTGCTTCATGGCTAATTAAAATTATTTGGAGCCACTGCTTCCTTAATTAAAATAAAAACAAAAAAAACTTTTTTTGTACTAGTCCGAAGTACATTGTAGATAATGTCACGGAGATTTGGTGTCTCTTGCCACCAGGTTTAAAGTAATGTTTAAAAATTCTGTTGTCAGCACCAGTTGTTATCTAGAGCCATGTTTTGTGTTCTGGACAGTGTTAACCATTAACAGTTATGGCTGTTTTACACCGTGCATTTCAAGAGTTTCTGTATCAGCTCTTTTCTAGTTTATTTTCCGATTTATGTGCAGAACTGATCTACGTTGAATGCATTCTTAGATTTTTGGTTTGACTGCGTCTGAGGCCAAGATTAACCCTTAACCTAAGCTAAACACAATTTGTGTCCAAGAAACCAGTCCAAAGTGAATCTTTAGTTTTGCACTGCAGGCTGATGTAACTGTTAATAAAACTGCTTTTACCCCACCAATTATCACATTGCATGACTACATATATAGAGAATGTGTTACCTAATTCTGTTGAGTTGTTAATTAATTTGTAGCTTAATTTAGTTTCTGTCCCTGTGTGATGCACTGCTAGAGGTCTGCACAGGCATTAAAGTGAAGCCTGAACCTGACTTGTACCTACAACTTTAGCCAAGTTTACATGCAGCCTAATAATCCCTTAATAATCTGACTAATAGCTCAATTCGAATAGAATACGTCCATGTATTCACCTCAACCGGAATAGACTAGTCCAATTGAGGCCGTTCGGAATACAATTTCTGTCCGATTGAACGAGGTGGGTAATCCGTTAAATATAAGAATAATAATCATGTAAATGACTGTATGTGATTACATTCCCAATCGGAAAGTTGAAGTAGATTCTGCTCCTGTGCGTCGCGTCATAGCGGAAGTTTATAACGCTCAACATGGCGGAGCAGAAACTGCTCTGCAGAGGAGACGAAGTTTATGTTTAAAAACACAAGCACTGCTCACTGCTGCTTGTCTCACTCTGACTGGACATGTGATGCTTGTTGGCTTGGTAACATCTACACTAAGTGGTGCTCCACACATGCATGTGATCTTAGATCAGATTACTTGTAGTGTGCATGTAAATGGAGATTTTCATCAGGTTGTTGAGTAGAGTGAGCATAAACACCTCAGTCTGAATCTGTAATCTAATCGGAATGTATTCAATCGGATTGGCAAAAATCTTTGCATGTAGACCTAGCCTTTAAGAACCAGAGGTGAGGAGGGGGCCCCCTTAGTGGGCTTGGGCTGGGTAAAAGACCTCTACCTCTACATACCGTGGGCTCATTAACTGCCCATTATTGCATTAAAACAGGAAAAGCAATAAAGTGTGCAGGGCAGTGGGACCCCAGGACCAAGGTTCAGAAACACTGATCTATACAGTCTTATGCAAAAGTTTGAACGCCCCTGGTGAGATTACATTGTTTTGCTGATTTCCTACATTGAAAAATAAGTTAACACATCCTCTACAATGAACAGATTTAAATGTGCCATTTTTGTGCAAATTTTAATGAACAGCTTTTATTTATTTGCTGATTTTAACATATTGAAGGAAAACAAAAACACAAATACAATTTGCCTCAACTTCTGCGCAGGCCACATTTCATGTTTTTTATTTCTCCAGTATGTCAAATGACATATTAAATAAACAGTAATTGTGAATTTTTAAGCATGTTCTGTGTAGAAGATCAGAAGATCACACTTTTGTCCATTTGTATGAATTTTAAAATTTTCACCAGACTTGCTTTAAGTGTACTTCTAATTTTAAAGGTCCTGTATTTATATACAAAGAAACATCTCAAGTATTTTGGGCTTTCCTTGGTCGGTCACTGTGCAACATATGATGTTCTGTTGCAACAGATTCCTAAACGATGGTCTTCACGAGTTTCTGATAATTAAACATGAGTGAAGTCAGTTTTTTATGTTTCAGACTCAAACCCCATCACCCCTGACCTGCTCTCTCCTGATGACACCAGCATGGGTTTCTCCATGGCTCCTTTTGAGACAGCCATGTACCAGCCGGTCGCCTCGGCCTCCTTCGTCATTAGCGACGTCACTGAGGAGGACGAGGGGGAGGAAGATGAAGACGATGAGGCGGAGGTGTCAGAGCTGGCACCAGACCCCATGCCGCCGGTCTCCATGACTGCGTCTGCAACCTTTGATCTTGATCGCCCTACTATGGACTTCCAGGAGGCAGAGGAAGATACAGTCTCACTGTCCAAGTCCACGAGCTTTGCTGACGTCAAGGACATTCTGAAGGACATGAACCGCATGAGGATGTGCAAGGACAGGTGAGTGGATGCATACGCGACCTTTCAAAAGTCGCTTTTTGAATGGACAGAAAATCAGTGCGTGTCTGTGTGTGCAGGTATTCTCGTGGATGTACGTCATTAAGGGAGGAAGACTCTGCATCATTGATATCTGAAGCTCTGAGGAAGAAGTTCACTCTGAGGGAAGACGACATTGGTGTGAAGAAGTAGCGTGTCTCCTCTGTCCTCCCTCTTCCTCCAGCTCTCCATGTAAGAAAGAAAATCTTAAGCAGTGCTGTAGATACTGAATACCATTTGTTCTAAATGATGATTAAAAATAAATAATTGAAGAGACATCATCCAGGCGGAGTTATGTCGGCACACCCGTTGCATATAGGCAATAGGATCTGACTGATAATAGAATTTCTTGGCTAATACCAATTTTATTGGGGTAAAATTAAAGTAACCAATCAAATCGGATGGTATAATTTTATATTTACATTTTACATTTTAATTTTATACTCCAAAGGATGTAATTAAACAGTGCTTTACTGTCACATGGGTGTCTGTTTTCAATTATCACACAACAGAAACTCAATCTTAATAATATATTGTAGCCGTGGGGGCGGAGCTATCCAGAGTGCTTTGTGCTTTTGGTTTCTCCTATTTTTGTGTCATCGGTTCTTTTATAGTAAAAAAAAGTTTTTGGTGTGTTATAACGTTATTTGCATGCCAAAGTTTGATTTGGATGTAATACCATTATTATGTTTTGTGTTCAGATTCAAGGGTTCAGCCTGTATTGCTGTCATATACAATCCCGTTTCCAAAAAAGTTGGGACGCTATGCAGAATGTAAATAAAATTTTTAAAGGAAAATACTACGAAGTCAACAAATCAAATGTTGAAACTGAGAAATTTTTTTTTGTTTTGTTTTGTTTTGTTTGTTTGTTTGTTTGTTTTTTTGCCCATTTTGAATTTGTTGCCAACAACATGTTCCAAAAAAGTCATGTTTCACTGTGTTTCTTCTTTTACCAAAACACTAAGTGTTTGGGAACTGAGGAGACCAGTTGCTGTAGTTTTGAAAGTGAAATGTTTTCCCATTCTTACCTGATACAGGATTTCAGCTGCTCAACAGTTCAGGGTCTCCTTTGTGTTGTTGTTTTGTTGTTTTGTTTTGTTTTTTTTTCATTTCTTAACCCTCCAAATGCTTTCATTGTGCCAGTTCTGGACTTCAGACAGGAATATGGAGCAATGCTGTTGTAAAACATGCAGATTGTGGTTTGACATTTTGCTGAAATCTTGCTGAAATAATTTAGGCCTTCCCTGAAAAAGACATTGTCTGGGTGGCGGCATATGTTGCCAAAACCTGTATGTATTGTTCAGCATTAATGGTGCCTTCACAGATGCGCACGTCCCCCTTGCCATGTGCACTAATGCACATGTGGTCTTTAGCCCAGAGGGGACAGTGTCCATGACTTCCAAAAAGAATTTCAAATGTTGCTTTGTCGGAATACAGGACACTTTTCCACTTCTACTCAGTCCATTTTAAATGAGCTCCTCTTTATACTCCCGAGCTGAGTTTATACTCAGCTCGGGAGTATAAACAGGAATAGGGAATAAAAAGATTTTTCAAAATTCCGAACACTGTGGAATCCTCTGTATGATGCTGTAAGTTACAATTTGCTTATCCGATCTTAACTTAATCTAGCAGGTTTCTTTAATACAGCCTCTGGTGTTGGCTTATTTCTAAGAACTCTGCCTGATTCTCCTGTTTGTCTGCTTTTGTTGCTAGGCCCGTGCCTGTGGATTGTTGCCATGGAGACCCCATAACGCCCCATCAGCAGCGATGAAAATTTTCCCCAGGCAATCTGCCCAGCCTCCTTCTCCCCCCACCACGATGCTATGCTGCAGTGATGATACCTGAAGGGGAAGGACAAGCTGTCTTGCGTAGTTCTGCTGACCACCAAAACACTTAAAGAACACACACACACACACACACCGCTCTGTGGCTAATAGGAGCAGGCATGTGTGTGTGTGTGTCTGTGGAGTGTGTTGTGGAGAGTTGTGTGTTACATTTACAGAACTTATTTTCATACTGTCATTCAGACCGTTTACCCATAATACAGTGTGGTGTGTTGTTCTTGTTGGAAACCAGTCACTATGCTATTTTATGTGGTTAATTTGAACAGGAGATAAAAAAGGAATTACACAGATTTTTTACTTTTTTTTGCATTTCTCACATTTTTTTCAGTCAGTCCTTCAGAGAGGGTTGATGTAAAATGGCTCATCGTAGAATTTTTTTTTTTACAGTGGTGGTGATAGGAACCAGGGGTTGCCATGTCTACGACACAATTACAGGCATTTTACTTACTACCAGTGACCCTAAACATGTATTTTGAGTTTTTATATGTTGATAATGCTAAAATAGTCGTAAATCCGTTTTCTTTGTGTACTATTTTACAATCCCACATCCGGCGTGTACCTCTCCACCATGAATGGATTTTAAAAATACATTTTAAACCAAAACATTGTCAAAAACTGTCATAAAACAATGTCTTATACATCAGGCAGTGTATTCCTAAGCTTTTCATCTAATAACTTTATGTGATGCAGGTTTTAGGCTACGTTTACACAGCAGGTAGAAGTGGCCCAAATCTGATTTTTTTGTTTGGCTGTTCACATTATCTTTTAAATGTGATCTGTATGCGACATCAGTCTGAACAGATCAGCTCCTAAACCGACCCGCATGCGCAAAAGAACAGTGCTTCACGTGGCTCGTCCAGAGGCGAATAATCATGACGGCCAGTGAACGCCAGTCGCTCCTGGAGCTTTCAGTTTCATCTTCTCCAGCATCACAGGAGCGATTATAAAGTTCCAGTGGTTGACAGCTGGACTCATCACCCACAGTGTGTTCGAGTTCGCCGTAAAAAGGGCTCGTTATTCGGCCACTTCTTTGGTTCGCGTCCTCGGGTTTAAACTGTTCTCTGACGCTGCAGCCTCGGGCTCCTCCGGCCGCGCTCGGCCGGTTCGTTCGAAACCTCTTCAAACACGGAGCGGTTTGATGAGTCTCTTCAAATTTTTTTGGTACAGAAACATCAAACTAAATGTTTATGAGCCTCAGCAGCGCGAAATTATGACGAATGTCGAGTTGGACTGACGTAAAAGTCGCATGAATTCCGACCTGGCTGTTCAGACTGAGTCGCATTGCCGCAGATCGGATACGTATCGGATTTCAGTACCACATATGAAAGCGTGTCAAATCGGAATTGAAAATGTCAGATTGAATGCGTTTTTTGCTGTTCACACTGAACACATCTGTGTCACATTTGAGGAAAAAGATCGGATTTGGGCCGCTTTTACCTGCTGTGTAAACGTAGCCTTGGACACATTCAAATCTTTGGACGTCTGGTTCCTATCACCACCACTCTGTTTTTCTAGAACGGAGCCTTTCACATCAAATCACTCTGATTAACTTTCTTTACATCTTAATGAATCTGTGAATTTTCCCCCTTTAACATCTACTTTCAAAGCATCTAAAATTACCCATCTAGCAAGATTACACTTGTCCATCTCCTATAATGTCGCTCCATTCAACCATCATGGTTCTCAACACAATAGAGTGGATCTCAACACAGGCTACCACCTATTAATCCCATGCAGGATGTTTATTTTGTTAGATGTTACAAAACCTTTTGCTTTTAGCCTCTCTTGCCTCTTCCTGTCCCTTATGAAACCCTGCAATACATACTTGAACCATGTTTGATGAATGACTAGTTTGCAATATTTACCTGTGTTTTTGTTAGTTTTGTTTAACTAAAAACCAAAAAGCAGACATTTGAGCAGTCGAGTTTTGTGTGCGATGCACACATTAGTTTGCCGTGCTGTGCTATCAATGTTGCTTTGTACATCTTTATTATTATCATTATTTTTATTATTATTATTATTATTATTATTTGCTTGAGTAGCTCAGGGTTTCTACCTGAGCAACTCTAGCTGAAGTATTTCATCTGAGCCCAATATAAACACAATATAAACTAGCTGCTAGGTTTCATATTGTTTGCTGTCTGTTTTGTTTTTGTTTATAGAGAAGTGGGGGCGGTGGTTTGGAGTATATACCGTACTGTGCAAAAGTTAGAGACCACCTTTTGTTTAATTTCCAGTCAAAATGGCAATTAAGTCCAAGTTATTCTTTTTTCAGTGTCAGGTAAAATAACAGAATACATGTATACACCCCTCCACAGTTCAGTCTTAGAAGTTGGTTTTGCATTTTCTGTTTCTCATGATCCAAATAATCCCAAACACATTCAGTGATGTTGAGGTCTGGACTCTGGGATGGTCAGTCCATTGTTCAGCTTCTTTGTTTGGTGTCTCCTTTTCTCAGTGAGGTTCTTCTTGACAGCTACACATTCTTTCAGACCCATAGCACTGAGTTGTCTTCTCACAGTGGAAGGATGGACAGAAACACCTGTGGATGTTTTCAGATCTGAAGCAGCTTGATTTTCTCCTCTCTTTCAGAGATGAACGCTTTAAGTGCTGTTTATCTGATGGGGGCAGTTTTGGTGTCTACCAGGTCTTCCAGGTGGTTGTTAGGAGTCACATTTTCTCTGTAGCTTTAAATAATTTGTTTTAACCTCAGTTTTGGAAACTTCTGTTTTTTGCTTTGACTTTCTCCTTCCTTAATCTCTTTAGAAATATCTGCTGATAATTAAAACTTATATTTAATGGCCGTTTTGAAAGGAAATTAAATAAATGGGGGCTCTCTAACTTTATGCACTGTACTGTATGTTGGCCAGACTGTACATATGTTACAACGTGTGGTTGCGGTGTGTGTATAGCTGCTGTTGCTGCCTCTTTAGTTAATGAGGGATTTTCTGTATGTGTTTTATATGGATGATGATGTTGACTCCTGACCTTACAGAGTCTGAAAGAACGTGCTTTGTGATGACCTGCATGTGTGTCTTGAGGACTGAACTAAAGTTTGAAGCATTGAATGCAAACTGTGTGTGTTACCTTGTATGTGTTTCTAGTCGCCTTACCCAGCCTCTTGCCTCTATCAGTGCCCCTTCTGTGGGTTAAGTAGGGTTTTATTTATTGGTTTAGTCCTAAGTTAAGAGTGTCTGTCCACGCTGAATGATTTCAAATGCTAAATCAATGCCACGGCTGTCGAAGGATTAGCACAGCGTTTGCTAGAAGAGAGCATGGGATATAATGTTCGAATTGGTATATTTGAGTGTACTGCTGTGTCCATGTAATGTACTTATTGGGGCAGTAACAAAACCGGTTTGTCAGTCTTTTTGTATTGGGATGGACCTGCTAGTTGCAGTGATACTTTACCTTCATTAAAAAAAATAAAATAAACCAAGAAATCGGCACTATTGGCACTATCTCTATTTTATAGCATTTGAAAACGCCAGCTGGCCATAAGAATGTGTTTAAATTTCAGAAATGGACCAATAGGAATGGTCAATAATTATTTGGAATGTTTTTTCTTCTCCTGTACAGTTACAATTTGGAGATAAAAGGTTTTGTGAGGCTGATGAAATGCTGTTAGTAGCATTGACTACTGCTGACTGGCCCCTCTTAGCATTCATCCATTCTTAACATGACCTTTTTTGGCTTAAATATTCGTCAAACTGACAACTGTCTGTGCCATTCTCTCAAGCTGAATTAGCCTTCAGCATCTTCTCTGAGCCATAATCCTCTCGAACTTATATGAACGCTTCCATAATCAATGCAATACACGCTTTATAAATGAACAGGCTTGCAAATTTTTCACATTTCTACAGCTGAAGTCAACACTTTATCCCCCTTAACAAGGATGCACATTGTCATGAATGCAAAGCACTGCTCTTAAGAGGCCTCAAAAACTATTTCACTGATAATGTGCCCCCTTGTGGAAAATTTTCAACCTGCTAAATGTGAGTGAGTGAGTTACAAGCCAGGTCAGTGAGGTCACTTTGCATCAAAAATGACTCTAAAATGGAACTAGCTGTCATAAAGTAAAGCTCTTTACTTTCACAATGCTTTCACAACTGCCGGACCACTTTGTTTTGTTTTACAGTGTTACTAAAAGGTTTTACTTTTGTACTCTTATGCTTTCGTTGTACGGTACAGAGAGAGTGCTGAAAATGGGAATTCCATCGATTTTTCAAAATTCATTTTTTAATTCCAAACATGTGAACAAAGTCATTCAGAGTGGTTTGATGTGAAATGGTTCACTGTAAAGAACTTATAGACTCATTTCTTTACAGTGGTGGTGATAGGAACCAGATGTTGTGTCTATAACAGAACATATAACCATTTTATTTACCTGTGAGTTTTTTATGTAATACCAAAAATGGTAAATCTGAAGAAATAACCTTTCTTCAGGAACTGTTCTGCCTTTCAACGCCCCTGCATGAACCCATGAAGGGATTTTAAAAATACATTTTAGACCAAAACCTTCTCAAAACTTTCATAAAACAAACATGCGTCAGTATGTTCATAACCATTTTGTGTGATCATTTTCTTTGAGGAAGCTTTTAGAGATGGACGTCTGGTTCCCATCACCGCCACTGTGAACAGTTCTTTGGCTAAGTTTCTCTAGAAACATTTCACACCAAACCACTCTGAATGACTTTGTTTACCTCTTATCCGTTATATATATCGAAATGTTGAAAAGTCAGCGGAATTCCTCTTTAATCCTGACTATTAGTGCTGAACTAGGTTAACCTGGTGCACTAGGCCAGGCACTGAGAATGGAGATGCTCCACTGTAATATATGGGCTGTCTATGATGCACTGTGTCAATACATTAAACTGAAAATCATAGTTGTGTGCTGTATATTGCACATCGAGTACGATGAAGCTTTATTGGATCCATCTTGGCTTCCATGCTCTTCTGTATAAGCTGTACAGAATTTAGTCTAATAACATCTGAGCAGGTGTTGGGTTCTGACCTTTATTAGGGTTGATATTTATAACCTGCACTAGTACTGTCCTTCTGATGTGTCTTGCTACACAAGAAACACTTCCAAACAGAGGAATAGAACAAATATTAAAGGGTTTAGAATAGAGTTCAATGTATCTATCAGCCACAAGCCTGTTGTAACAGGATAAGTAAATGACTCTTTGAACACTACAATAATGTACTCATATCAATCAGCTATAGCAGAGGAATCTCTCAGACTGTGCAGTGGAAAGAATTAGCAACTCCTGCCTTCTTTTTCTTCACAGGTTGAACATTTGGTTGATAGTTTTGAAGCAGAAGATTGTGTGTGTTGTGTTTTTTCCAATAGGAGGATGCTATACCTGCCTGTATATTATGCATACAAAGGAGAATAAAAAGCTAATGTTTGAAATACCTTGGATTCATTTCCTTTGTTTAGATGTTTAATTTTGTTTGAAAGGTTTATTTCCACCATATAACATGCAATGATGCCCTCTGACCACACAGGGGCAGCACAAACACAGAAACTAGTGGTCATGTTCTGGTCCAGTTAAACCTTTTTAATTATTTTGAGTATTTTTATGTGGTAATAATACAATGACGTATTGTAAGATGATGTTATGTTACTTCAAATCTGAAATCTTCATGAAGCTC